ACCCCCCCATCCCCCCCATCCCACCCTGCCTCTGTGGCAGGGCATTCCCTTTTGCTCTCTCTCTCTCTCTCCTTTGGGGTGCTGTGGTTTGCAAGAGAGGCACTGAGTGGCAATCATGTTTTGTCTATAGTCTACTTTCAGCATGCTTCTCCCATCCTGGGAGGATCCTCCCAACACCCTTTATTTGGTGCTCCCTTCTCTATCTGAGCTTCCTTTTCCCCTAGCACGTGTGGCTGGCCTCCAAGTCATGGAGCAAAATTCCTGGTACTAATCTCGGCCACTCCTCAGTGTTAGTCTCCCATTTTGTTACTTTATGTTCCCCAGATGAATGCAATCTTTCTGTTTATACTTTTTTATAAACAGAAAGTATAAACACAAATCTTTCTGTTTATACTTTCTCTTTATACTTTATTTTTATACTTTTTTGCCTCTCTGGGATATATTTCCAAGAGTAGTATTGCTGGGTCAAATGGGAATTCAATTTCTAATTTTTGGAGAATCGTCCACACTGTTTTCCAAAAGGGTTGAACCAATTGGCATTCCCACCAGCAGTGAAGGAGGGTCCCTTTCTCGCCACATCTGCGCCGACACCAGTTGCTTTTGTTCTTTTGGATGTGGGCCAGTCTCTGTGGTGTGAGATGATATCTCATTGTGGTTTTGATCTGCATCTCCCTGATGATTAATGATGTAGAGCATTTTCTCATGTGCTTTTTTGCCATTCGGATTTCTTCTTTGAGAAAGTTTCTGTTCATTTCGTTGCCCCATTTTTTTATGGGGATGGATGTTTTCTTCTTGTGGAGTTCAATCAGTACTTTATATATCCTTGATATCAACCCCTTGTCTAATGTGTATTCGGCGAATATCCTTTCCCATTCTGTAGGCTGTCTTTGTATTTTTGTCATTGTTTCTATTGAGGTGCAGAAGCTTCTTAGTTTAAGATAGTTCCATATGTCTATCTCTGTTTTCACTTGCTCCGCCAGTGGCATTGAGGTCTTTAATACATTTTGATCTTCACTTTTGTACATGGTGTTAGGCAAAGATCTGAGCCCATTTTTTTGCATGTAGCCGTCCAGTTTTGCCAGCACAATTTGTTCAAGAGACTTTCCTTACTCCATTTCACATTTCCTGCTCCTTTATCAAAGATTAGATGATCATATGTTTGAGGGGAGATGTCAGTATATTCATATATTCAACCCTGTTCCATTGGTCTGCAGCTCTGCCTTTGTTCCAGTACCATGCTGTTTTAATTAATTACTGCTTTGTAGTAGAGTTTGAAGTTAGGGAGGTTGATTCCTCCCATTTTCTTTTTCCCAAGAATTTCTCTAGCTATTAGAGTCCTCCCCATTTTTTAAACAACATGTTGAATTTGGTTTGCCATTTGATTTTATTGAGGGGGAAATTCAAATCACATAAGATTAACCACACATCATACATTGCTTACAGACAGAGATTTGATCTGAGAAATGTGTCATTAGGCAATTTCATTGTTGTCCAAACAGAGAGTGCAATCACACAAGCCTAAATGGTCGTCTATTGGGATCACTCCTGTAAATGGTTGCTTACCAGAGTGTTGTTAACCAACACGTGTTTGTGTTAAAAATCAATGTTGAGTGGGACTTAGCACCTTACAACGGTGCACAATCCTCACCTCCACAGAGTTCCAAAACACTTTTCATTGCCCCAAAAGGAAACCCCAGACCTCCATTCCCTTCTCCCAGCCTCTGGCCATGACCAGCCTCTCTGTCTCTATGAACTTAGCCTGGATATTTCATACACACAGGCATGGATTGTATGTGACTTTAGTGTAGTTTGTCTTCCTCGACTTAGCATCCTGTAATTAACCTCCATAGTAATGCCTGTCTCAACATTTCAGTCCTCCTGGGGTGGGTAGGGGGAGCTATATTTAATCAGTGTTAGGGAAAGGGCAGGTCTCCCTCATGCAAAGCATGCACACCCATCTTATTATTCAGCATTATAATACAATAATAACAATAATGTTATTGTTCAGTTTTTAAAATTTCATATCATACTTCAGCTTGCTTTGTTTGCTCATTTTTATGTTAATTATACAAGTAGCTCTATTCAATTTATTTTCACTGGAAAGCGTCCCACTGAATGAATCCCAGCAGCTTATTCACTCATTCAACATTAAATGACATTTAGGGTATATCCATTTTTTCCCTCTTAACCCTCTTAATATAAAGCTACTTAGAGCTGAAGAGATAGTACAGGGATTAAAGTGCTTGTCTTACATTTGACTGACCCCAGTTCAATTCCCGACACCATTTATGGTCTCCCAAGCACCTTCAAGAATGATCTCTGAGCATTGTTGAGTGTCTTCTCCCGAGCCACTGAGCCATTTTTCTTTAGAGCCAGGGCTGTGACTCAAGTGACAGAGCACATGCCTTATGTGTATGAGGGCCTGGGTTCGATCCCTGACAAGACATGCCCCACCCCAAGCACCACCATGTATGGCCTCCACATTTTTTATGAACATTCCTCGGGCACATGAATGAGAGTTTTCTCCAAGGGCGTCTATATAAGAGCAGAATCACAGGGAATGAATGTACTTCTTTAACTGTGCTTGATATTACCAAATGCATGAGTCTCAGCGGTTCTCATCCCTAATGCACAATGGAATCACCTGGGGGAATTCATCAACAAACAAACCACCTCGAGGTACCACACCATACCCCAGAGTGGGCTGGATGACTTTCCAGGGAGGGACTGGCAGTCCTGAAAGTTTCCTGGATAATTACACCAGGTGATTAAAGCTAAGGGCAGTCAGCCCCTCTGGGATCCCCACAGCTGGCTCAGAGGGCTGCTGTGGAGTCCACTTGCTCATGTCATTCAGATATTTGGGACTGTGCAGAAGGAAAAGAATAGATACGTATACTCCAAATGAATACGGCATGTAAAATCAACTCTGAATCATTCAGGGAAATGGGGAGAATAATAAATGGGGTACAAGATGTCTTTCTTTTAGGGGAGGCCACTCCCAGAAGTGCTTGTAGTCCAGTGACCACCAGGGACACACCCAAAACTAATAGGAGAGCGGTACCAGGTCACCCCATGCTGGTGCTGTGGGGTGAAGCATGTAGTATCAGGGACGGAACTTGGGGTTCATATATGCAAGAAATGTGCTCTACACTTGAGCCACATCTCTATTCCCTGAAATCTGTGATATTTGATTTGGGAGCCAACACAGTGGTGCTCAAGGCTTATTCCTGGCTTTGCACTCAGGAATCACTCCTGGCAGGACTCCAAGAACCATATTATGTGGTGGGAACAAATCTGGATTGCACCCTAACGTACCCACTGTACTGTAGCTCCAGCCCCTTCTCCCTTCCTTATTTCTCTCATTCGTTTATTTGGTGTGGGGGAGGGAGCACATCCAGCAGTGCTCAGAACTTACACCTGGCTCTGAGCTCAGGGATCACTCCTGGTGGGCTCAAGGGATCATATGGGGTGCTGGGAATCGATCCCAGGACGGCCACATGCAAGACCCAACCTGCTATACTATCTCTCTGGTTCCAAATCACTTACTCCCTCCCTCTCTCCATGAGAATAATTTAGGATCACGTTTCAGAAAAGGCACTGTAGCACTGTCCTCCCGTTGTTCATCGATTTGCTCGAGTGGGCCCAGTAACGTCTTCATTGTGAGACTTGTTGTTACTGTGTTTGGCATATCGAGTATGCCATGGGGAGCTTGCCAGGCTTTGCTGTGCAGGCGAGATACTCTCGGTAGCTTGCCAGGTTCTCCGAGAGGGCAGGAGGAATAAAACTCAGGTCAGCCAAGCATGCAAGGCAAAGGCCCTACCACTGTGCTATCGCGTCAGAAAAGGCATTAACAGTTAAAGAACTGATCAAAAGGCAGGAAAGCAGGGGGGATCCTCCCAGGATGGGAGAAGCATGCTGAAAGTAGACTATAGACCAAACATGATTGCCACTCAATGCCTCTTTTGCAAACCACAGCACCCAAAAGGAGAGAGAGAACAAAAGGGAATGCCTTGCCACAGACGCAGGGTGGGGTGGGGGATGTGGGGTGGGAGGGATACTGGAATTAGTGGTGGGGAGAATGGGCACTGGTGGAGGGATGGGTACTCGATCATTGTATAACTGAAACCCAAACACAAAAATCTGTAAGACTACAACTGTATCTCATGGTGTTTCACTAATAAAATTTTTTTTAAAAAAGGCAGGAAAGCAGAAGTACAGCTATGTCACATGAGAGCAAGTATAGCACATGGGAAACGGTCAGGCTTGGGGTACATGTTGAGAGGCCAAGAACCTCAATTTTGCCACTATCTCTATCACCATGGACAAGTTCCTTCTCTGAGTCCATTCCCACATCGACCAGGCGTGACAATTATAGGAACTAACCCCACTGTTGTACGAATGAAGGGAACTGGCCTCCACTGTGCTCATGGAAAAAGCTAAGACTAGCAGGGTTTGGGAAAGACGGGGACTCACCTGTCAGCCACACCCTCTCAGGAGCCTGGGCTGAAGTTTGGTATCCAAAAAGCTGTCTCCATGAGATCACCTCAGAGGTCGGTACTGGGGACAAGTGAGTGAGTACTTATGCCAGTGTGCTTCTGAGGTTCCGCTGAGAGTATCGGCTGGTCGTGACACAGCCTTACGATCAGGTGTAGACAAATCTATGAGTCCCATTTCACAGATAAGGAAGCTGAGTCACACAGAGAAGTCAACTTTCTTTTCTTTCTTATTCTTTTTTTTTCTTTGACTGTTTTGGGTCACATCCAGCGATGCTGAGTGGTTACTCCTGCCTCTACGTTCAGGAATCACTCCTAGCAGTACTAGGGGGACAACATGGGATACCAGGGATCGAACCCAGATCAGCCATGCCCAAAGCAAACACCTTACTCATTGTACTATCGCCTGGCCCATGAGAAGTCAACTTTCTTGCCCCACAGCCTTTGGGACCTGCATCTCCAACCCTGCATTCTGGCTACTGATGCTCTTGTGTGTCTGATATTTAGCTTTGCTTTGCTGAGTGACAAGCTGTATCAACATAAGGAGTCTCTGATCAGTTCTGTGCACACCAAGGTGAAAGGGGTCGCAGAGGTAAAGGAGGAGTTTATACAAAATGGATCGAACCAAGTCAAGAACACTGTATTTGACACCGCCGATTACACCTTCCCCTTGCAGGTGAGCATTTGAAAGTGTCCCCCTCCCCCAACCCTCCATCACTGCCATCAGATTCCCACCCACCTACCCACTTTCCCTGGAATCAAGAGCCTCACTCCAGAAAAACACTGGCCTTGTTTTAAAGGCCCTTTGAAAGTCCCCACTGAGAAAACCTAAAAATTGCAAAATTGGGTCAGATCCAGCAGCTCAATGGAGAGGATTCTTTGCTTTATCAAGTCCTACAGGATTTCTCAAAATAGCAGTATGTCCTGGTGCATTTGAAACAGGATTCGACTCACCCACACTTGACTCAGACACGGCTTTTTAGAAGCGGGGCCAGCAGTCAGCAAGGTGTGTCTGGATTCAGAAGCGCAAAGAGCTTCTGCTTAGAGAAGTCCACCCTTGTCAGCTGTTCGAGGTCTGGGTGCCTTGTTCTTTTACTTATTTATTTATTTATTTACTTATTCAGTTTTCCCCTTTTGAGGGGGGGCAGGGGCGCATTTTGAACCCAGAGCCTTACACAGGCAAGGCAAGCGCTATACTGCTGAGCTACATGTCCAACCCTGGGGGACATTTTAGCAACAAAAATGTTTCTAAGAAAACATTCTTGGGGTATGTTTTTGCACAAAGGAAGCTATAAATGACAAAAAGGAAAGACCTGGGTCATACCAAAAAAAGGCACAAAGCTGTCTAAATTTGCAAGAAGAGAAAATGAAGTGGAATGATTGAAATGGAGAAATCCAAGTGGGGTTGGGCACACACACGACAGGAGGGATAAAAGGACACATTTCCAGCTCTGGGAGCTCAGAGCACCAAAACCATAAAGCAAAACCATAAAGCCCCCAGCAATTATCTGTTCCTGTTCTAACAGTGGCTCATTAAAACTTCCAGCTACTTACGGAGAGGTGGGTTGTCCTATTGGACTTGAATTAAAGTTCTGAAGAAACTGAGAAACAACGTTCTGACATCCCACCCCCATCTCCACCTCCCCAGGTCTCTTGAGTTCCAATTTCATGGAATTATACCGTGTCTGAAAAAAAATAAAAAGGCTGCTTTTGAGGCTGAAATGGAAAATGAATACTCAATCAGTTCCAATGTTTCCAGCTCCTCCCTCATCTCAGCAGGGCGGCTCATGCAGCTTTGATATTAAACCGGCTGCATAATCCAAGATGCTCCGGGACCCTAATTTCCAGACTGCAATTTAAAAGCGCCAAAAGCCTCGCCCCCAGGCACTTAGCAAACGGGATTACTATGATTAAGTAGTTCTGTTCCTCAGGCTTTGCTTTTTGCCTTCTCTGCCTTTTCTCCCACAGGGAAACTCCTTCTTTGTGATGACAAACTTTCTCAAGACAGAAGGTCAAGTGCGGGGGCTGTGCCCTGAGGTAAGAAGGGGGTCTGCAGTGGGAAGGTGGCACGAAGGTCTGCAGTGTGTGTTTTGCAAGCAGGAGGCCCAAGGTCCATCCCTGGAACTGTATGCATCCCCAGGAGTGACCCCTGAACCCTGAAAAGGAGTGGCCCCCAACCATCCATCAGCAAAGAAATCCAAAAAAAAACAAAAAAAAAGAGAGAAAGAGATAGAGTTCTTCGAAGAGGCATAGGGCAGGAAATGAAAACTGAGACCCGGAAGTGTTTAAGCCCAGAAGTGGAGTAGCCTGGGGCTGGATGGAAGAGGGTGAGGGGACATGACAGTCTCTCTTTCTAATCAGATCTTTTTTTTTCCTTTTTGGGTCACACTTGATGATGCACAGGGAATACTCCTGGCTCTGCACTCAGGAATTACCCCTGGCGGTGTTGTAGCCAAGTTTCAGATCCCCAATTGCAGAGAGACCCAGTTCTACACATGATAACGCAAAAGCAAAGCTAGAGTCTAAGTCTCATCCAAATACAGTGGAGTCTTGACAAGGACCCCAACTCCAACTCACAAGCAGTTTCTATAGGGTTCAGTTAAGAAGCGGTTTATGTACTGGTTTAGTATTGCCCTATTACAACAGTGGTCAGCAATTAGACAGCAGGTACGAGTAACGGTTTGGGGTTCATTCCAAGAAGGGTGCGGCGACCCCTCATGACTAGCCAGATCCAAGTGCCCAGTTTCTTATCTAGGTGAATTACTCAACTGGGTGTTTACCAGAAGCTGCAGTCCAACTCTGGGGAAACTGAGGCCTAGCTGAGACTTAATGTTAGCTGCAACTTCTCATGGTTACTGAGGAGCCTGCTTTTGGACCTCACAGCGGTGCTCAGGGGACCATATGGGATGCTGGGAATCGAACCCAGGTCAGCTGGGTGCAAGGCAAACACCCTACCCACTATTCTATCGCTCCAGCCCCTCTAGTCACCACATCTTTGTCTGTTCCCCTCTGCCTTCAGCTCCAGTCCTGAGAGCCTGCACAGACTGGAGTCTCCTCTGTCCCTTGCTGGCCCCCTGTGACTATAGCAATGCTGGGCATTAGAGCAGCATTTCGCTGGGGCCTCACAAGCACATCTGGAGGGCGGGAGCATCCCCGCCTCCTTTAACAGGCCAGAGAAAGATGAGAGAGGTTCGGTGACTTCTTCAAGGGCACACGGCAGACTTTAATAGCCTGATGTCCTTTGCTCCCTGAATCCCCTGGGAGCTGTCTGCAAGGCCAGGACCAGGAAGCCTTGAGAAGTGGCTACAGTTTTCCTTTTCATCCCATTTCTGGGGTTTGGAATGCAGATTCTGTTTTTATTTTTTCAGATTGCAGTTTAAGTTTTCTTTTTCACAATAATTTATTATATTTACTATTTGAACACCAATCCCACCACCATTACACTTTCCCATGACCACATTTCAAATGTTTCCACCCCAAACCAACTCCAAACCCTGCCCCCAAAGCAGAACCAAAATAATTTATTTTGTATTGCTTGTTATGAATGATCCAATAAAAATGATCCAAAAAACTTTCCTTGGAGGAAAGTGTGTGAAGATTGTTGTATTTCACCCTGGAATCCACTAAGCCTTTTTTTTTTCTTTTTGGGTCACACCCAGCAATGCCAGAGGTTACTCCTGGCTCTGCACTCAGGAACCACTCCTGGTGGTGCTCAGAGGACCATATGGGATGCTGGGAATCGAACCCGGGTTTTCCGCACGCAAGGCAAATGCCCTACCTGCTATGCTATTGCTCCAGCCCCATTTAAGCCCTTCTATAAGAGATAACTAACCTGCTGTTAAAGGTTGAGCCTTGTGTGCTAATACATTTATTTCCCCTGCCCCCCAAGGCTGATTGCCTTCTACTTTAAACCCCATCAAATGTGGTGTGCTACTCTTGGTGTCAAGTATGAGAATTCTAAAATTTAAATTACATTTATTCAGCACATTCACTCAGAGATGAGGCTCATCCAATCCTGTGCAGAGCGGCCATGAGCATGCCCGTGATTGAGTTCTGGAGGTTTCCAGCTGCTGGGGCTCTGCTGGGGCGGGAAGGGGAACTCACCGGGCCCCACTTCAGGTTGCCCTGGATGAGACAGCCTGGCACGGGATCTGGGTCATATCTGCGCCGTGTCATTCTATGATGCTCTCTTCTGGGAGTTTCATTTCTGAGTCTCAGCGCAGATTCTGGTTTGTGTCCCTGTGTATCTCCACTACCACGTCCTAACTTTGTTCTCTCCACACTCCTCACTTTTCCTACCTCTTACTGGAAAATTTAACCCTGGGAAGTGGTCACAATGCTGAGAGATGCAGAATTGTGGTGACAATGAACTGGGCCACCTGCTTAGGGGCAAGATAAGCCTGCCTGTGGGTCCTGCTCATAAGTCACTTTTGATTTCCTGTATCCTGAGAGTTCAAGGTAGATATAATCTCTCCTAACACAGCCTTTGCAGTCATTTCTACCCAAATTTGGAAACAAGCTAACCTTCTATTTCAATTTTTTTTAAAACACCTAAGTTAACTTTGTCCCTGTCTTAATTTAAATGCTTCTAATAAAGTAGCTGTCAGTTCATCTGAAGAAAACGCCCCTTGCCCTAGCAGCTTCCAGGCTTGAATTCAGTTTGGGAATCCTGGGTCTCTTTGGCCCAACATGATCCTCTCTGCCCCATCTTCTGTCCCCCATGGCCCTTCTCACCAGTACTTTTCACGTTATTGATCTTTGTAGGAAAGAGTTAGAAATGCCAAAGTCTAAGAGCCTGAATTCAGGAGCTAGGGTACAATGGTTCAAAACCTGACTTACTGACTTTGTGATTTTGGTCAGGTAACTTCACTTCTCTGTGCTTTGATGTACTTACTTATAAAGGAGTCCTAATCAGACCTAGATATTATGAGTAACTATCTGTGACAGGCTGGAAATAGGGTGAGAACATCATAATTACTCAAAAAAAATGAACTATCTGAGGGGCTGGAGTGATAGCACAGCAGGTAGGGCATTTGCCTTGCATGTGGCCGACCCAGGTTCAATTCCCAGCATCCCATATGGCCCCCTGAGCACCACCAGGAGGAATTCCTGAGTGCAGAGCCAGGAGTAACCTCTGTGCATCGCCGGTGTGACCCAAAATGCAAAAAAAAAAAAAAGAAGAAGAAGAAGAAGAAAACTATCTGAATCTAATGACAAGTCGTTCTACAAAGGGGCATCATTCAGACTGGCTGGGAATCAAAGGGCTCCATGGATGTATTGCCGACCCAGAACACTAAGAATAGCATAGGGGTTTAATCCATGCTCCAGGCTGTTCTAATTTTATACCATATTCACTTCCTCTTTCTTTGGGGGAGAGGGCGTTGGGGTGGGAGGTGGGGGATTTGGGCCACACGTGGCAATGCTCAAAGGTCAATCCTGGTTCTGCATTTAGGAAATCACTCCTGGCAGAATCTGGGGACCATATGAGATGCCGGGGATCAAATCCAGGTTGCCCATGTGCAAGACAAGTGTCCTATCGGCTGTACTATCACTCTGGCTCTCCGTCACTTTCTCTCTTTCAAACTGACACCCACACTCACAAACTCTGATCTGGAGCTGCAAGTCAGGCTAAGTTCTGAGTAAATGTTGTCCAGTTATATGCCAAGCCCTGTTAATATGCTGAAAGACACTTGCTCTGCACATTTAGTTACCTATTGCTACAGAGTACAAAGCATTTTGTTAGCTCTTATGGTTGGCTACCTTCAGCTGCGTTGATCCGCTAAACTTGTTCAAGATCTCTCCTGGGTTGCAATTAGATGGTGACTGTGGGCTGGCACCAGGAAGGATCAACTCAGTTGCTGGGATGGCTGGACACCTCCTTCTCTTCCAGGGTTCACAAGGCTTCTTCTTGCAAAGTCTCTCAATATTGTCTCTTCAAGCTTTCTAATAACAACTCAGGTGTCCCCAAACCAAAAGAAACATCTCAGCCTTTCAACTTAGACCTGGAGTTTGAGAGCATGAATTCTGCTCCCTTCCAATTATTCACTCACAGGGGCAGCCATGCTGCAAAGGAGGACGGGATGGGGCAAGAATGACAAAAAATGTGTGACCTATCTTTAATCCATGTGACAATCACAAAATAAAGGGAGGGGGGACTGAAAAGTAATCATTTTAAATACATTCTGAGGAGTGAAATAGTTTATCTCTTTTCCTGAGATTTCCTTCTGCTTGATAATAAAAATAATTAAACTTCCAGAAGGCAGAGTAAATGGTCATTCATTTTCCACTTATCAAGATCCAACATGTATCAGATACTCAAGTTACAAAGATATGATTTGACGCGGACTTTGTGATCAAAGGGTTCACAGTCTAGCAGGGGGCCACAAGAGGAGGAAACTAAGAACATGCTGGGTGACAGGGAAAAGATAACCTAGAAAGAAAAGAGAATATGCAGGGATTGAAAACTATAAGAGACATATCCACTGAGTAAAGGCTCTGAGCTCAACAATATTTTCTTGTAGAGGTTGGAAAAGTAGTATAATGGGTAGTGCATTTGCCTTGCAGCCGGCTGACCAGGGTTCAATCCCCGGCATGCCTTATGGTCCCCCGAACTCTCCAAGAGTTATTCCTGAGCACAGACCCAATAATAAGCCCTGAGTGGCACTGGGCATGGACCAAAAATGAATACCCCCCAAAACAACAATTATCATTTCTTTTAATACTCAGACCAAACAACCACAAAAAGTCTTCATTCAATCACAAATGAGGAAACTGTAGCTTAGAGAGGTGAATGACTTGGCCAGTGTCACTCAATTAGAAAACGATACAGTATAGCTGAATCTGAGAACACCTGGGCTCCAGTCCTGAATTTCTGTAAAAGTCACAAATTGCACAAAAGAGGCTGTTTTTACACCTAGATTAGGTCCTGGCTTCCCTAAGGCTGGTCTTTAAGTTGGATCTCCAGAAAAAGGCAGATGAACTGCATAAACCAATTCATCCGTTTCCTTATTCTGTCCTCAGCCCTGAGACCAGCTGACCTATTTTTTTCAGGCCAGGAGAAAGTGGTGGCCACTGTCCTTAATTTCCACATTTCCTGCTGGGCCCTTGTTCCCGTCTGCTTTGCTTTCTGCCGCCGTTGAACTGCTAGCATCAGCCACCTGCTCTCCATTCCACATGCCATATCTAGACATGGTTCCTGGTTGCTCTGACATCTGCTCCCTTTGTATTTGCATTTCTTTTTATCAAGACAGAATTCACATGCCATAAAATTCATCACTTTAAAGTACTGACTCCCGTGGCCTTTAGTTTATTCACAGAGTTGTACATCCATCATTGCTATTTAAGTCTAAACCATGTTTATCCCTCTCCTGCAAAAAAATCCAATATTCATTAGCAGCAACATCCCATTCCCCCTGACCCACCTTCAGTCCCTGGCAACCTCTGATCTACTCTTGATGTTGATGGATTCGAGTCTTCTGGAAATTTCATATAACTGGGATCACACAATATGTGGCTTTTTGTGCCTGTTTTCTTTTACTTTTTTTTCTTTCACTTTTTTTTTTTACAAGTTTAATCCATGAAGCATGAATCAGTATTTCATTCCTTGCGGTGGCGTGTGGGGTAGGGGGCAGGGGTGGGGGGCGGTTGTTCCTAAGAAAGCTCAGGGGGCACAGGGACCACTTCCAGTAATACTCAGATGGCAGAGTGGGCCTAAAGGTTTAGTGTGATGTACTGCTACTCAATTCAGGAGTACTGGAATCAGGCCTATACCTGGTAGTGTCTGGGGGTGGGGAAGCATATGGAATTGAATTTGGGGCACTGAACATGACATCTGCTCCAAGTCTTTGAGTTATCTGTTTCTCCCACCTTACTCCTTTTTTGGCTAAATATATTCCATTGTAAGGGTGTACGATACTTTGTTTGTCCATCTACTCATTGGTGAATATTTGACTATTTCTACCTTTTGGTGTTTATGAACAATGTTGCCGTGGGCATTCGTGTGCAAATTTTTTTTTTTTTTGCTTTTTTTGGGTCACACCCGGCATGCACAGGGGTTATGCCTGTTACACTCCTGGCTCAGGTACTCAGGAATTACTCATGGTGGTTCTTGAGGGACCCTATGGGATGCTGGGAATCAAACCCGGGTCGGCCACATGCAAGGCAAACACCCTCCCCACTGTGCTATCGCTCCAGCCCCTCATGTTCAAATTTCTCTGTGGACACATGCATTTGCTTTCTACCACAAAGACACATAGTGCTTACTGCATGTCTCTGTCTTGTCCTCCCTGCAGCAACCCACCCGTAGGACCATATGTAATTCTGACCGGAACTGTAAAAAGGGCTGGATGGACCCGCTGAGCAAAGGTACAATCTCTTTCAAGAAACCCTGGCATGGATGGTCGGGAATCTTGGTGTCATTCACAATGCCTGGTTCATGGCGTTGGCTGCTGGCTCCTGGCTACTTTCTTCCACACCCACCAGACCTGGGAGAATCTCAGTCTCAGTTTCTATTCTGCCCCCCGGGAACAGCTGTTGACGCCGAACGTGACTCTGATTTCCAGTAAGGGCGACTACTGACCACCCCACAGAATGAGCACTTTTTGGTTCTATTTGATAGAAAAATCAAATGGCCCATAGCGTTATCTGAGTATTTTAAGTTTTCCCTCCATGAATTCCCCCCAAAAGTCAAGGAGCATTAATTTATAGCCCAAAGCACCTGAGAAATACCCCTATTAACCTAGAATTTCCATATCTCTTATTTAAACTTAAAAAGACATTCTACATTACAGTGAAAACATCCAATAAAAATAATCTATAATAATTTAAAAGATGACCATTATTTTTAAAAGGAAAATGAGTCAGAGAGATAGTATAGTGGGTAATATGCTTGCTTTGCACACAACCAGCCTGGGTTTGACCCCTGTACCCTAGATGGTACCTTGAGCCCTGTCAGAAATTATTCCTGAGCACAGAGCCAGGAGTATGGACTTGGCACCACCAGGTATGGCCCAAAAACCAAAATCAAAACCAAATCAAAAACAGAGCTAGAGATAGAACAGGGGTAAAGACCCTTGCCTTGAATGTGACTGACCCCGAATCAATCCCCAGTACTGCATTTGGTCTCCCAACCCCCACAAAGGTCATTCCTGAGCAAAGAACCAGTAATAGTCCTTGGGCACTGCTGTGTGAGCCACTGGCTGTGGCCCCCAAACAAACAAAACCCCAACAAACAAAAAGAAAGAAAAAAAACTTGTGTTTGTAACACAAAGACATCACAGGAATGTTAATTTTTTGTGTGTATGATGGGGATGGGGTGGGGAGGGGTGGGTGGGAATGGAGGGGTTTCCAAGTAGTCCTCAGGAGACCAGGCTCTGTCCCAAGGATTCTGGCCAATCAGGGCTACACCTTGTGATGCTCTGGAAGCCAAAGATCGAAGCGAGTTGGCCACACGCAAGGCGTACATCCTAACCCCATGCTACCTCTCTGGCCTGTAGGAGTTCTGAATTCTATTCCATAATTTATTTTCATTTGTACTGACCTGAAGATATCTTCTGTTTGTTTTGTTTTGGGAATACACCCAGTTATGCTCTGGAGTTATTTTTGGCTCTGAATTCAGAAATTACTCTTGGCTTGCTGGGGTGGGAGTTGGGGTATAATATATTATGCCAGGGACAAAACCCAGGTCGGCTGTGTGCAAAGCCAAGTGTCCTACCTGCTGTACTATAGCTCTGGCCCCAAGGCTTAGAGATCATTTTAACATGACATACTACTGATGTGCCCTTTTGGAAACCTGTTAGTGCCCTGTGACTTCAGGAAGATATATCCTGTTTATTCTGTACACAGCTCTGGTACAAACTGTGCATCCCTAGGACATGCCCAGCTAGAACAGGCTCTAGTCATCCATTCCAGCCCAAAGGATATGTCTGAGAATTGGCTCCCACCACCGACATTTCTTCTTACAAAGAAACTAGAAGAGCCAGCAACAACTGTGGTCTTTAGTGTCTCTCTGACCCTTTTATGAAAGCTGGCGTGCTGCTTGCTGTGACTTGGGTGGGGGTGAGAGAAAACCCCACACAACTTGTGTTGGAAAGCAAGTGTCTTACGGGGGCTGGGTGACAGCACCTCCTGCAGATCCCCCCCAAGTCCTTTCACAACTGTGCTCCTACCTCACTCCACAGGAATCCAGACAGGAAGGTGTATCATGTATAAAGGGACTCTGAAGACCTGTGAAGTCTCTGCCTGGTGCCCCACTGAAGCAGTGGAAGACCCTCCCCGGTGAGTTGTGGGGGACAGACAAACAGGGTTGCCTAAACTTTGGATTCCTCTCCCTCTTGGGGGAGATTTATGCTACTCAGGGCCTCTAAAGAGACACTTCCAGAGTAAACAATATGGATGAGACCTTGCAAAAGACTGGGGATGGTCAGATGAGAAAGTGATGGCCCAGTCCTATGGGAATGTCAGACCTACGGGGACAGATGCAAACAGGGATGTGTGGGAGTTGGCTTTTATCGGCTCTGAGCCAAGATGTCTGAGATGTCTGAGATGTCTAAGATGCCCCCCCATCGATAATTCCAAGTTCAGGATGTCCCACTGGTGGCTTGAAATCAACTATGGTGTGAGTATTTATACCACAATAATGCTAAATGCTACATTTTATTTTCTGAAGACTGGTTGTAACACCTCTATCATCACACCAATCTCCATACTTACACATCTAACTATATAGAAGCGTTAGAGTAAATACTGTGGTATCTCAAGAAGGAAGAAATCCTTCTGTAAAAGCCAGAGAAGTTTGGAATGTCAGGAGGCCCACTTGCATTTTTCTGCACTCATCAGAATAACCCAGGCAAGAAAGCAGAGCCTCTGGTTCCACCGGCCCATGGACAACGTTGGTTCCCGTAGTCACTAATTCCTATTTCAAATTCTCTCTCAGGCCTGCACTCTTGAACAGTGCTGAAAACTTCACCGTCCTCATCAAGAACAATATCGACTTCCCCGGTCACAACTATACCACGTAAGTGCCCAGAATGTTGGCTGTTTTAGTTATCTACTCTGTGTATCAGATTACCACAATACTCGGAAGCTAAAAACAACAGACATTATTTCATGTAGCTTTTTGTGGGTCAGGAATTTGGGGATGGCTTCACTTGAGTTCAGGTTCTCTCAGATGGCAGTCAGTGGGCATGCAATTACCTCTAGGGATAATAATCTCTGGAGCTCACTCACTCAGTAGTGCTTGTCAGTAGGAGGGCTCAGTTCTTTACCCCTAGGACTGCTTGCGGTCCTTAGGACATGTTCAGGAAGATGTCGGAGAGAGACAGAGAGCCAGCATGCCAGCTAGTCACCAAGAAGGAAGCTGCAGTCTTTATACTTGATCTTGAAAGTGGCACTCCATTTCTGATGCCACGATATTGGTCACTCAGTGTAGGAGACAAGGTTGTGAATCCCAAGAGGTGGAGATCACTTGGAGTTCTCATGGAACCCAGATTCTATACTGTCCACTAAGGTGAAAATGAAAAAAAAGGATTCCTTTCCTCCCACATTCCCTCCCTCCCTCCCTCCCTTCCTTCCTTCCTTCCTTCCTTCCTTCCTTCCTTCCCTCCCTCCTTCCTTCCTTCCTTCCTTCCTTCCTTCCTTCCTTCCTTCCTTCCCTGATTTGTGTCCCCTTTGAGACAGGATGCCATTTTTCTATGGAGACATTTGAAAATGAAAGAAATGGATCTCTCTCTCCTTCCTTCCTTCCTTCCTTCCTACCTTCCTTCCTTTTTCCCTTCCTTCCTTCCTTCCTTTCTTCCTTCTTCCTTCCTTCCTTTTTCCCTTCCTTCCTTCCTTCCTTCTTCCTTCCTTCCTTTTTCCCTTCCTTCCTTCCTTCCTTCCTTCTTCCTTCCTTTCCTCCCTCCCTCCCTCCCTCTCTTTCCTTCCCTCATTTGTGGTCCCTCTGTGACAGGATGTTATTTTTCAAAAGAGATGTTTGTTTGCTTTCTATTTGTGCAGGAGAAACATCTTACCAGGCTTAAACATTACCTGTATCTTTCATAAGATTCAGAATCCACAGTGCCCTGTTTTCCGACTAGGAGATATCTTCAAAGAAGTAGGCGATAATTTTTCAGAAGTGGCAATTCAGGTTGGTGGTGCCTTTGTACAGTGGAATTTGGGAGCGGGGCAGTGGGGGTGGTGTCAAAAGCTGAAGAAAGGTAGATGGCTAAGAGGGTGGGCCATGGAGCCTTAATACTATAACTCACATTATTGAGTAGTTAGTTAATCTCTGCATCCTGGACTATTACCTCATAAGATTCTACCACAACCCTGTGAGTATGATTCTTGGTGTATTAGTTAGTTCTCAGTGACTTATGCAGCAAATTTCCACAAACTAGATGGCTTCAAACACTTTTTTTTTTTACACGTCTGAAGGTCAGAAAATAAAGGTGAAGATATTAACAGAGTCATAGTCCTTCCACGGCTCTAGAGAGTCTATTTCCTGACTTTTCCCACCCACCAAAGCTGCATTTCTGGCATGATTCACAGCTCCCATTCTCACTCTGAAACCAGCAGCTTTGTATCTTGCTTTTGGTCACACTGACTCTAAATTCTCTGTCAAATATCCCTCTACCGCTAGCATGGTGTTATAAAAGGCAGAATTTAGGGTCACCAAGATAATCCTCGATCTCAAATCATTAATTTACTCCTATCTACACAGTATCTCTTGCCTTCTAAGCTAGCATATTTGGAGGTCCTTCGATTACGAATATTTGAGACCCACATGTTATTCAAACGACCACACTTGCATTAGTCTGGGTCCTCTCTAGTTGCAAGTGATAGAAATTCAACTCATCTGTTGTCTTTGTCACTGTCACTATCCTTCCATTGTTCATCGATTTGCTCGAGCAGGCCCAGTAAAATTGTGAGATTTGTTGTTACTGTGTTTGGCATATCGAATATGTCACAGGTAGCTTGCCAGACTTTGCTGTGCGGCGAGATACTCTCAGTAGCTTGCCGGGCTCTCTGAGAGGGGCGGAGGAATCAAACTCGGGTCGGCCTGGTCGACCTCGTGAAAGGCAAACACCCTACCCACAGTGCTATCGCTCCAGTCCACTCATCTAATGTAAGAGAAAAAATTAATTAAAAAATATTTTGGGAGGCAAGTAAGAGAAACCAAACTCAGCTGGTTTCGGTAGAAAAAGAAGGCACATTAACTCCTGCAAAAAGACAAGTTTATGATATGGGGTGAGTGTAATGAACTTTCTAGAAAATGTATGGTATCTTCTCGCCTGGGTAGTTTTCTTTAGCTGTTTTCGCTGCCTGAAACAGCCTTGCACCAGACATAGCACTAGCCATCCTCTCACTTATACCCAATATTTCCCTCAAATAAGCTCAATGAAGCTTCCTTTTATCACATTTAATACAACTATTTTCCACCACCATCCAGCATGCCTGAGGGTCCTTCTTAAATTTTTTCTCAAAATTTTATTTAAAGGATCATGAATAACTAGGTTATTCAAAGTTGGGCTTTTTTTTTAATTGAATCACCTTGAGGTACACAGTTATGAAGCTGTTCATGCTGGCAGCTAGCATTCTCTGACATATTTTACACTTAGCACAGGATACTCAATATTTGTTGCGTGAATGGAGGACGTGATAGCTGTAGGCACAGCTGCATTCAGGAACTCAAGTGATGTCCTTAGAAATCTGATTCTTCTCATCTCTTGATTATCTCCATGATGATGCTGTGATATCAAGACAATCACTATAGCCTAGGACTGTGCTACTAATACAATACATACCAGTGCCTCAAATTAATTAAAATTACTGTCACTGTCCTCCCGTTGTTTATCGATTTGCTCGAGCGGGCCCAGTAACATTGTGAGACTTGTTAGTGTGTTTGGCATATCGAATACGTCACAGGTAGCTTGCCAGGCGTTTGCAGAGCAGGCAAGATACTCTCGGGCTCTCCGAGAGGGGCGGAGGAATCAAACTCGGTTGGCCATGTCGGCTGTGTGCAAGGCAAATGCCCTACCTGCTGTGTTATCACTCTAAATAAATTAAAATCTATTTCCTTTGTCATAATGGTCACTTTTCAAGTACTCAATAATATGTGTGGCTACTCAACTCAGCATGAATTAGATTATTTCCATCCTCACAGAAACTTCTGCTGAACAACTTTGCTTTACTCGCTATACAACTAGAGATCCCAGCCAAGAGAGGGACTCTATTCCTAAGATTATAACAAAAACTAAGGGAGGACTCTGAGTGTTCTTCCATGGGCCTCTGACCTATTCCTAAGCAAATCTCCTGGTCCAGAGGGATGCACTGTTTTTGAGCAGTCCAGCTTGGGTCTAGTGTTCATTTCTAAAGCTGTGAAAAGGGATCCACTCAAACCATTAAGAGTTGGGAGGGATATTTCTCAAAGGTAATTCAAGGTACCTTTCCAGAAGAAGGAAAATTGAAAGCCTAATGACGAAACATTAGCTATTTGCTACGGTACATTGTGGACCTAACTTAATGCCTGGCCAGTAAATGGCATATGTGATTATTTGTTTACATGCCTTTTCTCTAAGTTAGAGCCTGCTTATTATTCAATTTAGCATCTAGCATACGGTGTTGAAGTACCATATTTCATTAGTAAAAGTAAAGTAAAGGCCCTCCCGTTGATCGTCAATTTGCTCGAGCGGGCCCAGTAACATCTCCATCGGAGACTTTGTTGTTACTGTGTCTGGCATATCGAATACGTCACGGGGAGCTTGCCAGGCTCTGCCATGCGGGCGAGATACTCTCGGGAGCTTGCCGGGCTCTCTGAGAGGGGCGGAGGAATTTCATTAATTCAGTCTTTTTTTTTTCACATTTTAGTAGTTTTGAAACCAGGAAGTACTTTCAATAGATTCTCACTGTTTAATTTGCAGAACATTTTTTTCTTAAGGGAATATAAAAAATATGCCATACAAGCAATCATGTCTAAGATGAAATATAATGTGATAGTCAGTGCTTGGAAAAATGTTTGTAGAATAAAGAAGTATTAGGAATAGAGGCTGGAGAGATGGTACGGAGGGTAGGGCACTTGCTTTGCATACAGCCAACCCGGTTCAATCGCCTGCACCCCACACAGTCCCCTGAGCCTCACCAGAAGTTATTCCTGAGTGCAGAGCCAGGAATAAGTAGTGAGCACTGCTTGGTATGACCCTAAACCAAAACAAACAAAAAAAGAAGAATTAGGAAATAAATAATAGTTTCTCTTTAGAAGTGCAGAAGACAGACCTGAGAGGTAGAATGTTTGCCTTGTGTGTGGTGAATCCAGGTTTAATATGGGCCAGGCTTTGTTCCCTGGAACCCCATATGCTCCCCTGAACTTTCCCAAGAGTGATCCCTGAATGCAGAGCCAGGAGTGAACCCTGAACACAGTTAGGTAAAGCCCAAAAGCAAACAACCAAACAAACAATAAAAAGTTCAGGGGAGAGAACGGCCTTGAAATGAAGACAGGGACAGCTGAACAATGAGGAAGGAGGTACTTGGAGGATGAGATAGGAGTTAGCCAGAAAGGTAGGTAGGAGAAAAGGGTGAGAGCCAATATCTAAACATATTCCAGTAATTAGAAATGTTCTCAGTAATTCCACTCCTAAGTGAAATTTTATACCCAAGAGAAATGACAATACATACACCTACAAACACTTGTATACAAATGTTCACAGTAGCATCATAGTAGCCAAAAGTTGGAAACAACTCAATTGTGTGTGTGTATGAGAACAAAACTCAATTGCTTATCCTTTAATGAATGAATAATTAAATGCAATACCATGCAGTGGAATATACTTCTACTACAAAAAAAAATAAATTGCTTGAGCGGGTCCAGTAACGTCTCCATTGCAGACTTTGTTGTTACTGTGTTTGGCATATCAAAAAAAAAAAAATGGGCTGGAGTGATAGCACAGCGGTAGGGCGTCTGCCTTGCACGCAGCCAACATGGCCGACCCGAGTTCGATTCCTCCGCCCCTCTCGGAGAGCCTGGCAAGCTACCGAGAGTATTCGATATGCCAGACACAGTAACAACAAAGTCTCCAATGGAGACGTTACTGGGCCCGCTCGAGCAAATCGACGATCAACGGGAGGGCCTTTACCTTTTTGAGGGCTGGAGCGATAGCACAGCGGGTAGGGCGTTCGCCTTACAAGCGGCCAACATGGCCGACCCGAGTTCGATTCCTCCGCCCCTCTCGGAGAGCCCGGCAAGCTACCGAGAGTATTCGATATGCCAGACACAGTAACAACAAAGTCTCCAATGGAGACGTTACTGGGCCCGCTCGAGCAAATCGACGATCAACGGGAGGGCCTTTACCTTTTTGAGGGCTGGAGCGATAGCACAGCGGGTAGGGCGTTCGCCTTACAAGCGGCCAACATGGCCGACCCGAGTTCGATTCCTCCGCCCCTCTCGGAGAGCCCGGCAAGCTACCGAGAGTATTCGATATGCCAGACACAGTAACAACAAAGTCTCCAATGGAGACGTTACTGGGCCCGCTCGAGCAAATCGACGATCAACGGGAGGGCCTTTACCTTTTTGAGGGCTGGAGCGATAGCACAGCGGGTAGGGCGTTCGCCTTACAAGCGGCCAACATGGCCGACCCGAGTTCGATTCCTCCGCCCCTCTCGGAGAGCCCGGCAAGCTACCGAGAGTATTCGATATGCCAGACACAGTAACAACAAAGTCTCCAATGGAGACGTTACTGGGCCTGCTCGAGCAAATCGACGATCAACGGGAGGGCCTTTACCTTTTTGAGGGCTGGAGCGATAGCACAGCGGGTAGGGCGTTCGCCTTACAAGCGGCCAACATGGCCGACCCGAGTTCGATTCCTCCGCCCCTCTCGGAGAGCCCGGCAAGCTACCGAGAGTATCTCGCCCGCACGGCAGATCCTGGCAAGCTCCCCGTGACGTATTCGATATGCCAGACACAGTAACAACAAAGTCTCCAATGGAGACGTTACTGGGCCCGCTCGAGCAAATCGACGATCAACGGGAGGGCCTTTACCTTTTACCTTTACCTTACAAAAAAAAAATGAAGCTCTGTGACATGCACAATATGGATGAACTTTACAAACATTTTAAGTAAAAAAGAATATATATACATATATATGCCACAAATTATTTGGTTTAATTCATAGGAAAGTTCGGAGTAAGAACTAAGAACTCTAAAGTAGATTACAGTTGCCTAGGCCTGGCAACTGAGGAGGGGAAGAGAGGTTCTAACCAAAGGTAATGAAACTGTTGGAAAATTTATTGTGATGGTGGCTACACACATATTTGACTACATTAAGAACGCTTGAATTGTACACTTGGGCAAGTTTATATGTGAATTAAAAATTTGTTTAACAAAAAATGAATAAGAGCCTTCTCTGAGGGAGCACTGGGAGATAATGCACCAAGATAAAGATATGTAATGGGGCACCTTGAGTCCTAGTTAACAAGTTTCAACTTAATTTTTAAGGGGAATGTTTGCAATTAAGGGTGTCTTACTTGGGCGCAGTTTTTAGAGAGTCACATCTTTCAAAAATCAACCTGATGGTGGTATGGAGGAGCAGCAGTGGGGGTGGGCAGGGATGAGGGTACGTGCATATGTGGATCAGGACTGAACTCTTGGCTCTGTCTTTACTCTTTTCCTCTGAAAGAAAACTCCTTCAATGGTCACTGCTATGCAAGATGTCTGGTGCCGTGTCACCTATGTCCAGCAGGTTACTGATTGTTTCTGATTGTCTTCCCCAGGGAGGAATCATGGGCATTGAAATCTACTGGGACTGCAACCTTGACAAATGGCTCCATAGCTGCCGTCCAAAATACAGTTTCCGTCGCCTTGACGACAAAACTGCCAATGAGTCCTCTTTCCCTGGCTACAACTTCAGGTAACCGCCCTCCAGGTGCAACCAACCACCCTTAGCAACACAGGGACCTTCTGGGCCTGGCTGGCTGTAAACAAGTGATGACCAATGTTCTGTCACCTTCAATCAAACATCTGCAATGGTGACTTGCTCTCAACTCATGGCTCAGTGCTACGGGAAGTAACTGCTGAAAATCTTGCTTTTGCATTTGTTTCTGTTTTGGGGTCAGTCAAACCCGGCTGTTCTCAAGACTTACTTCTGGGCATGTAAGGGGTCATTCCTGGTGGCGCCTAGCGTACCATATGCAGTGCTAAAAGATGAACTGGAGTTGGACCAGAGCATTGAACTCTCTGGCCGGGTACTGCCAGGAGTGGTCCCAAGACCTCCTAAGCACTATTTGGAGCCAAAAATAAACCAACAACAACAACAACAACAAAAAAAAACTATCAAATCTTGGGGCCAGAGTGACAGCACAGGCTTTTATCTTGCATGAGGCCGACATGGTTTCAATCCCTGGCATCCCACTAGTACTAATGGTCTCTAGGTCAGTGATTCTCATATAGCGTTCCCAGCAAAAGCATCATCATACAGAAACTTGTTTAAAATGCTAATTCTAGAGCTAGAGTGATAGTACAGTAGGTAGGGTGTTTGTCTTGACGAAGCAGACCCAGGTTTTCTTTTTTTTATTAGTGAAACGCCATGAGGTACACTTATAGACTTACAAATTTTGTGCTTGGGTTTCAGTTATACAATAATCAAGTGCACATCCCTCCGCCAGTGCCCGTCATCCATCACCACGGGTCCCAGCATTCCCCCCACCCCCACCCCCCCCCCCCCCCCGTCCCATCCTGCCTCTGTGGCAGGGTATTACCCCTTGTTCTCTCTCTCTTCTTTTGGGTACTGTGTTTTGCAAGAGAGGCATTGAGTGGCAATCATGTTTGGTCTATACACTACTTTTAGCATGCTTCTCCCACCCTGGGAGGGTCCTCAAAACACCCTTTATTTGGTGCTCTCTTCTCTATCTGAGCTTCCTTTTCACCTAGCACGTGTGGCTGGCCTTCCAGTCATGGAGCAAAATTCCTGGTACTAATCTCAGCCATTCCTGGGTGTTAGTCCCCCTTTTTGTTGCTTTATGTTCCCCAGATGAATGCAATCTTTCTGTGTCTATCCCACTCTTTCTGACTCATTTCACTTAACATGATACTTTCCATGTAGTATCACTTGTATGTAAATTTCATAACTTCGTCTTTTCTAACAGCTACATAGTACTCCATTGTGTAAATGTACCAAAGTTTCTTTAACCAGTCATCTGCTCTTGGGCACTCAGGTTTTTTCCAGATTCTGGCTATTGTAAAGAGTGCTGCAATGAACAAACAATTGCAGATGTCACTTCGACTATACCTTTTTGCCTCTCTGGGTTATATTCCCAGGAGTGCTATAGCTGGGTCAAATGGCAGATCAAATTCTAATTTTTTGAGAATCGTCCATACTGTTTTCCAAAAGGGTTGGACCAGCCGGCATTCCCACCAGCAGTGAAGGAGGGTCCCTTTCTCGCCACATCCGTGCCAGCATTGGTTGCTTTTGTTCTTGTGGATGTGGGCCAGTCTCTGTGGTGTGAAATGATATCTCATTGTGGTTTTGATCTGCATCTCTCTGATGATTAGTGATGTAGAGCATTTTCTCATGTGCCTTTTTGCCATTCGAATTTCTTCTTTGCGAAAGTTTCTGTTCATTTCCTCGCCCCATTTTTTGATGGGGTTGGGTGATTTCTTCTTGTGGAGTTTAACCAGTACCTTGTATATCCTTGATATCAACCCCTTGTCGGATGTGTATTTGGTGAATATCCTTTCCCATTCTGTAGGCTCTCTTTGTATTTTGGTCACTGTTTCTTTTGAGGTGCAGAAGCTTCTTAGTTTAAGATAGTCCTATTTGTCTATCTCTGTTTTCACTTGCTCGGCCAGTGGCGTGACATCTTTGAAGATACCATTAGCTTCAATATCATGGAGAGTTTTGCCAACTTTGAGCAGACCCAGGTTTAATCCCTAGCACTACATATGGTTCTCCAAGCCCTGCCAGGAGTGATCCCTGCACGCAGATCCAGGAGTAAGCCCTGAGCACCACCAAGTGTGACTCCAAAACAAAATCAAAATATTATGTTGAATCAAAATTTATCTGAACTGACATACTAAACTGTGAAATTTTAAAGATGTGCTTTTTTTTTTTGATGCCCTAAAACAATACAATTTAAAAAAAAATTAAACAGTATAGAAGCACTTGCCAGTGTGAGGCCCTAGGTTTGGTACATGGTACCACAAGACAAAATCTCCTCCAAAATAAGTTCTCAGGCTGTACCTCAGACCTCCATGAGTCAGATACTCCACAGGCCCTCAGAGTTCTGATGTGCCACTAGCCAAGCCCCCTGACACTCAGTGTGGTCCTGGAACAAGCAGCGTGGTCTCCCCTGGGAGATAAGTACAGTGCAGGGTCCCAGGCTCCACTCTCAATTTCCTGAATCAAATCTGCATTTCAGTGACTGGAGGGATAGTGAAATGTGTAGGGAATTTGCCTTGCATGCAGTCAACCTGGGTTCGATCCCCAGAACCCCAGAAGGTCCCCCCGAGCCTGACAGGAGTAATCCCTGAGTACAGAGCCAGGAACACTGCTGGGTATGGCACCCAAACAAACAAACAAACAAAATATCTTCATTTTACAAGATTCCTAGAACTTCCGTGCACATAAAAATTTGAGAAGTGGGGCTGGAGAGACAGTAGTGTGCTTGTCCCCTGAACCACCTCTGGACATAGACCCTGTTACCCACAAAACCAAAGAACAGAGGTCAAAACTTTGACAAATCTTTGGATTAAGAAGGTTGTTTGGAGGAGAATCAGGGGGTTGTTACTATTCAACCTATTACTGAAAATAATAAAACACCCCTGCATGGGGCCTCTTGTTTCTAAAGGTGACCCACTGACCAACTACAGTGGAGCCTCCCATTACCCTTCTTGGAAATGCAAACACCTCGAATTCTTTGAGGCTTTCAGAAGCAACCAGTTGGTGGTGAGGAACAGGAATTTGCCTTTTGCACACGTTTCTCAAGTGATTACTGCCCTCAGTTTGAGAAGCACTTTACCAAGACCGTGAATGCAAAGATAACGGATCCCCAGCCATGGAGCAATGCAACCTTAATTTTTAAGGATTTTTTTTAAAAAAAATGAATCTATCACTCAATAAAGCAGGGAGAGAGAGGACTGTGATGGAAGGAGGACAACCAACAGCTAACTTCCTCTCTAGGAAGAAACAAGCATTGAAGCAGCTGAACTAACATACTGCAAAAAAGTGGTTGGAATCAGAAACAAAGTTCCAGAGGTTCCAGACTAGCGGGGTCTAAAAACCACCACCAAGAGGTGCTAAGTGGGAGGGGCCAACTGAAAAGTTTTGTGAGGCCAAGAAAGTAGAGTACTTTCCTGGACCATGTATCAGGCCAGTGGTAGAACACTTGCCTGGACCACTGTGAGGCCCACTCCCAGCAGTCAAAACAAAAAGTAAATAGAATTTTCCTGAGGAGAGAGCTTAAAGACCTGAGTACATGAGTACGTGCTTCACCTTTAGAAGGTCCAGGTTCAATCCCTGGCACTGCACGGTTCCCCTCCCCTCTCACACCTCTGCAAGCCCTTAGGTACCAAGCAAGGAGCCCTTGGGCAGTGTTAGACGTAGCCCCCCGATAAAATGAACCAAACCTCCCACTTCAAATACCACTCCAATCCCTAAGCACCAAGCTAGGAGTAGCCCTTGAGCACTGTTGGGTGTAGCCTAAAACTCAGCCAATCCAAAGGAAAAAATAATAATGAATAAAAGTTTTGCAAGGCATGTATTTTAGGCCTTCCTACTTATTTTTATTTATATAGGAGTACTGCTATTTATTCAGCCATTGATTAGCTGATTAAATTGTGCATGAACTCCACCTTACTTTTTTTTTTCATTTTTTATAACTGTATTTATTGAATCACCGTGAGAGCAGTTACAAAGCTTTCAGGTCTAAGTCTCCGTCATACAATGAAACACCCGTACCTTCACCAGTGCCCATTCTCCACTACCGAAATCCCCAATATACCCCCATCCCACACCCTCCCCCTACCGGTGGGGCAGATGATTTCCACATTACTCTCTGTCTACTTTGATCACATTCAATATTTCGACACCAGACTCACCATTATTATTTGAGATTTTACCCCAATACTCATCTGCTGAAAAGGTAACAGTAGACAATTTGTGTTCTATTGCTGGTTATGAATAAGATATGATGTCGCGTGGCTGCAGTAGCCTGCATGTGATTTTGAAATTACAAAATTTTAACACTTAACTCTGGGCTGGAGCGATAGCACAGCGGGTAGGGTGTTCGCCTTACAAGCGGCCAACATGGCCGACCCGAGTTCGATTCCTCCGCCCCTCTGGGAGAGCCCGGCAAGCTACGAGAGTATTCGATATGCCAGACACAGTAACAACAAAGTCTCCAATGGAGACATTACTGGGCCCGCTCGAGCAAATCGACGATCAACGGGAGGGCCTTTACCTTTTACCTACCTTAACTCTGGAGGAATTTCTGCCAAAAGCCACTGGGTTTCGAGATTTGCTCCTGAGTCTTTGGGATCATGGCCGTTGAGCAGCTTGATCAGGAGCCAGAGAGGCCGTTTGTGGGCGATGACTTGGGGTCTCGTTGGGGTGGGGAGGACAGGCCCGGCTCCACCCCCATCCCGTGAGGCCCAACAAGTTTCGTCACTGCGGGCCCAAGTCTGACTGTCCAATGGCCTCTGGAGGATGACGGCCCTGAGCCGCCAAGAGGGAGCAGGCGAAGTGACAACACCCTTTCCTCCCTGGGGTGGCCCGGTGACAGTAACGTACTGTGGGGCCCGGGCCCATTTCTACCAAAAGCCACTGGGTTTTGAGATTTGTTTCTGAGTCTCTGGGATCACGGCCGTTAAGCAGCCGGATCAGGAGCCAGAGAGGCCATTCGTAGGCGACGACTTGGGGTCTCACTGGGGTGGGGAGGACAGGACCGGCTCCACCCCCATCCCGTGAGGCCTTGCGTGTCTCATCGCTGGGGGCCCAAACCTGACTGTCCAGTGACCTCTGAAGGATGGCGGCCACTGGGCCGCCGGGAGGAACAGTCCAAGGCACGAAACCTATTCCCACCTGGGTTGACCCAGCACCAGTAACCTACTGCAGGGACCGGACGCATTTCTGCCAAAAGCCGTTGGGTTTCGACATTTGTTTCTGAGTCTCTGGGATCATGCCCATTAAGGAGTTCAATCAGGAACCAGAGAAGCCATGCCTTCGATTATATATCTGAGCCGGAGGTGGTTTGTGGGTGTGTCTCCCACATACCTAACTTTTGGCCATTTACTTTCTTGGTAAACTTTGCCCCAAGTTTTTGAGGTCTGGCCAAAGGCACAGCAGCAATTTTGGGGTATCTGGAAGTCAGAAGGTGCCATGAGGCTGCTGATGCACTCGCCTCACAGGTACAGATTGACCTGCTGGTGGCACCATACCCCCAAGCCTTCCTACTTATTAATGAAAAACAAAACATCCCGCTTTCCTACTGGTAGAACTAGTGAGAGTTGTGGATTGGGGTCGAATGTGATTTGTACCCAGGCCTTTATTTGTAAAGGTAACAAAGTAATGGCACAGGCACAGATCAGACAATGTCACTGAAGGGAGAGAATTTTATTTCTTTTCCCCAAAGAGGGGTGCACCCCATGCTACACAGGGCAACAGGAGAACACTAGGTTTGCTCAGGAGGTCAGACAAGCCAGGGGAAAGCAAGGCTCATAAACTTCACTAGATGGTAAAGGCAGGCAGGGCAGGGAGAATGGCTTGGGAGTAGCTAATCTGAGAAATGTCAGTAGGTTGCAACGTCTGGACGATAGGGGTAGTCTCCATTGTCCAGTGCATGGCCCTGGATGGCTGAGGACACAGGAAATACTGGCTGTGTGTGAGAGAGTTAGATAAAGAAGGTGGTTGGGGATATGGACTCAAGATTGGTCAGAGTTTATGATATGATTTCACATACTTGCAAAAGCTAGATCACGGGAAAGATACAAGTCTGGCCGTTAGTTTGATTCTGTAAGAATAAACATCATGTAGAAAATACAGTATGCATCTTGTCCTCCACTTCCCCTCCCTTCGTTGTTGTGCTGTGATAACAGATGGTTGTGCATACGGGCTTGTGGTGCTTGCACACTCAATCAAAGTGCTCACCAGGTATCCAACACATTGGTTGTGCTCGTACACGCACCTGGCTGTGCACCAGACATCACGCCCCCTATTGTAGTGCTGAGAGTCCAGACTGCTGAGCTACCGGAACTAAACTCGGCAGAGGTGGGAAAACACTGGGAATGAAACTTGATGTCTTGTACTTACAGGCAGGCACTTTTTTTGTTACTCAGTCATCCATCTCCCAAGCCCACAGCAAATAGAGAATCCTAAGAAAATATACTTAGGGCGCCAGAAAAGATTACTCGCAGGGCTAGTGTACATGCTTTTGCATGCAGGAGACTTGGGTTCAATGCCCAGAAGTCCGTGCTCCTCCAAGAACTTCCAAGAGCAATCTCTGAGCACCATGCTAGGAGAAGCCACTGGGCACCATAAGGCATGCTTCCCCCACCCCACCCCTCCAACAAACAGACAATGCAGGGGCTCAGTGATAATATGCATGTTTTACGAGACCTGGATTCAATACCACAAGAAAAATAAAACACTGAACAAATTACTAAAATGTGTTTGTCCCCAATCTAGAAATGAGCCTCTAAATTTGCATATATATGCTTTGTTCCAGAAGTCAAACATATTTTTCTCTTTTAAGGAAAAGTCAGATTTCTTGAAGTGTTACTATTTTAATATCTCTTCTTATTGTTAATCCTATATTGGCTAAAATTGAAAACTGATTTTCATAGCTCTGTGATGGGGAAAGAAGCAGAGGTAGTGTGGGGAGCCTTTTTTTTTTCTTGCTTTTTGGGTCACACCCGGCGATGCTCAGGGGTTACTCCTGGCTCATGCACTCAGAAATTACTCCTGGCGGTGCTTGGGGGACCATATGGGATGCTGGGGATCGAACCCGGGTCGGCCATGTTGGCTGCGTGCAAGGCAAACGCCCTACCAGCTGTGCTATCGCTCCAGCCCTGTGGGGAGCCTTTTGACCCAGGGGATCAGAGAAAGTAATTTTTGGGTTTGGGCTGACCTTTAGTCAACCTCTTCCGAAATAGGAGATGAGCAGAAAGACTAGATAAGTTACTGCTGTGTTTGTCTTTTCATAAAAGGCCAGCACCTTCAGATAGGTTCTTTATCGAGTTCTTTTACTTCCTCTAGATATGCCAAGTACTATAAGGAGAACAACATTGAAAAACGGACTCTGATCAAAGTCTTTGGGATCCGTTTCGACATCCTGGTTTTTGGCACTGTAAGTCTCTGCTCTCAACTACTTCAACTCCTTCCTATCACTGGGTCCTAATTATTGTGCAAAAGGTGACTGCCAAGTCGCAGGATATGTGGGGGGACATGGGCAGAGTCACCCATTCCCGGTCCCCTTGAACCTGGGGTTTTCAGTCGCAAGTCCTGCATACCTGGAGTTTCTGCAGATTCACTCGTGGATGAGGCTTGGCACGAGCATGTGGAGAACAGCCCTGAGCCCACATTTGGGGCCATACTCAGTAGTGCTCACTGGCTACTTCTGGCTCAGGGGTCATTCCTAGTAGTGCTTGGATCAAACTGGTGTCAGCCACATACAAGAAAATTTCCTTAACTCCAGTACTAGCCCTCTGACCCTTCAAGGAGTGGACACTCTGGTCACAGATGCACTGTACTTGTGGCTTAAAGGATGGAGAAGAGTTGCATTTTCTATCTTGAGAGTTTGCCCATGTTTTAACTTGAGTTATGTAATTCCTTCCATTTACCGGATGGCACATTCTCCATCTTGGGAACATTCATTCTCACATCTCAACCTGTGATGTGTACTTTTGGCTCTCTTCCCTCTGGAGAATCCTAGACTCTCACCTGAATCTTTCTGAATCTCTCTCTCCTCAAAATAAAATTATTTTACTTAAAATAGAGAGAGGAAGTGGAGGGACGGAGGGAAAAGAAGGGCCCTGAGGCTTCCGTACCTGAACTTTAAAAATATAGATGCCATAGGGGCTGGAGCAATGTCCCCAGTTTCTCTCCCGCTGCTGCCCCCAGCCTGTCTTTATGGCATATATATATATATGTATATATATATATTTTTTTCTCTTTGGGTTACACCTGGCAATGAAAAGGGGTTACTCCTGGCTCTGCACTCAGGAATCACCCCTGGCAGTGCTCAGGGGACCATATGGGTGCTGGGAATCGAACCTGGGTCAGCCGCATGCAAGGCAAACGCCCTACCCGCTGTGCTATTGCCTGTTGAAAGATTCCTGTTTTAAATATACCCAGGGAGACAGAATTAGGACAAACAAGAGCCCTCATTTCTGTCTCTTATGCTGGTTGCCTGGAAGACCTTGACTACATCTACACCAAAAGGTGTGACTGATATAGAATTCCCAGTCACAGAATGCCTCTGTGCTCCTTTCCAAACTACTAGGTACCAGTGTGGACAGAGATGGTTATTTAAAAGAAGATTGGATACAGTTCCAAAGCCTTTATGATTGAGTTGCAGTCATACCATGATCGAATATCCATCCCTCCGCCAGTGTGCATTTCCCTCCACCAGTGTAACCAGTATCCCTCCTAGCACCCCCACCCTACCCACCCCCTGCCTCTATGGCAGGCACTTTCCTTCTTATTCTCTCTCAACACATCCTCTCCTGAATGCTCCAAGACTTCACGGGTCATTTGTTAAATCCATTTTCTCAGGGGGGAAAATGAAGATTATCGTGATTTCTAGCATTTACGATCATTGTGAGAGTACTTGTGAAGTATTAAAGACAGTGAATGAGACATTATGTTATTTATGTTAGTGATTACCACTATTATTGGAAAGGGCTTACTGTTATAAACATATTTTAAAATAAAAAAAATAAAATTGGAGAACTGGAGTGATAAAATGGGCAGGGTGTCTGCCTTGCAAGCAGCCGATCTGGGTTCGGTCCCTAGCATCCCACATGGTCCCCCAAGTACTGCCAAGAATGATCCCCAAGCACAGAGGTAAGAGTTAACCTCTGAACACTGTTGGATATGGTCCAAAACTAAAAATTCTTTTGAAAAAAAGAAAGTTGGAATGTTGTCTCCAAAATAGGGAAGAGGGGCTGGAGCGATAGCACAGCGGGGAGGGCGTTTGCCTTGCACGCAGCCAACATAGCTGACACAGGTTCGATTCCCAGCATCCCATATGGTCCCCCGAGCATGCCAGGAGCAATTCCTGAGTGCATGAGCCAGGAGCATCGCCAGGTGTGACCCAAAAAGCAAAAAAAAAAAAAAAAAAAAATTAAAATAGGGAAGAAATGGACACCGGGTATGCCCAAATCAATAGATACCTACCGCTGCTTATGCAACAGCATTCTGCTTAGGTACTGGGTGACAAGCCTCACAGTGAAATATAGCAGAGGAGGCAGAAAGGCCACTGGGAATAAAAGCCTCAAGGACAAATAAGGGAAGAATTTGTACTGACATTCCTTCCCTCTGCTTCCAAAGTAATCTCCTGCCTCTTTTAGGCAGAATTTATCTGAAACCCTCACTTTGTATGCAAAGGCAACAAATCTATGGTTTTCTCTCTCAATATGTGGGCTCCAGTGCTTCACTGTTGAAAGGTTCCTGTTTTAAATATACCCAGGGAGACAGAATTAGGACAAAGAAGAGCCCTCATTTCTGTCTCTTATGCCGGTGGCCTGGAAGACCTTGGCTACATCTACAGCAAAAGCTGTGACTGATATAGAATCCCCTTCCTGCTGGGGTGAACCTGTCTGGGTTGAAAGAGCACTGCTCTGAATTCCCACTCATTAACTCTTCCCACTTTGTTTTCAGGGAGGAAAATTTAACATAATCAATCTGCTTGTGAACATTGGCTCAACCCTCTCCTATTTTGGTTTGGTAAGACATTCTCTTTCCCACACTTTATGAAAATCATCTGGCAAAAAGAAGTTTCACTGACAAAGATGCCTATCTGGGTTTTTTTCCAGGCCACTCTAATCATTGATTTTCTTATCAACACATACTCAAGTAAATGCTGTCGATCCCAGGTTTATTCCCGTTGCAACTTCTGTAAGTCCTGCGTGGTCAATGAGTACTACTACCAGAAGAAGTATGAGATTATTGTGGAGCCAAAGGCGGTAAGGCTCACACTGTCTGTGGTAGAGAGAAGGTCTCTCACATCACAGAGAAATGTGCAAGAGGGACTGGAGTGATAGCACAGTGGGTAGGGTGTTTGCCTTGCACGCGGCAGACCCAGGTTTGATTCCCAGCATCCCATATGGTCCCCTGAGCTACCGCCAGGAGTAATTCCTGAGTGCAGAGCCCTGTGCATCGCCAGGTGTGACCCAAAAAGCAAAAAAAAATGTGCAAGAATAAGGTCACAATTATAGGTTAATCTGATGGACAAGTTTCTGAACTCAAATCTATCATCTCTTAAATGAATACTTTGATCTTAGGGAAGAATTGAACAAAAATAGTGAGGTAAGATATAGGGAAAAGACAACTTTATGTTCCAGCATTTATCATATTTACTGCATAGTTACAGTAAAAAAAATAGTGTAATGACCTTGGAGATTAATTTGGCAGTGTTTGCCAACATTTAAATGAGACATACTTCATTGCTTGGCATTTCCACTTCCCCATACTTGCCCTAGGATATATCACAGGGGTACCAAGATCCACAGGTAGCCAAGATGTCCATCACAGTGCTATTCATAACCATGAAAGAAGCCCAATGTTCAATTGGTGATAATAAAACAATCTTTGATAAGGAATGCCTGGGCCTAGTTTAAAGAAATGAGGTAGATGATAATAAAAGATAGTTACAAAGCACTTTGAAGTTATATATGAGTTTATCTATTCAAACTCATTGAATCTTCAGAGACACTCTATAGATTTCCATGACTATAGGATATAGGTAGATGCCAGTATTACTTTTGTCTATTGATTATGAAATTGAGGCACAGGAAGGTTAAAAAATGTTCCTAAAGTCATAGAATGAAGGCTGGAAAGAGAATACAATGGGGTAAGGCTCTTGCCTTGCATGTGCCCAGCCCTGGTTTGATCCCCAGCACCACATATGGTCCCCTGAGCCCTGCCAAAAGTGATCCCTGACTTCAGAGCCAAGAGTGAATCCCAAGTACACTGAGTATGACTCCAAAACCAAAAACAAATAAATGGAAGAAATAAATGCCAATACAGGCAAGCTGGTCTTAGAATCCATGTTTATAACTACCATACTATATATAAGAACTGGAATAAACCAATAACTAAGATTTTTGTTGAGAAAAAAAGTAAACGATAGGATGAGCAGAGCAATAGTACAGCGGGCAGTGCATTCGCCTTGCACATAGCCAACCTGGACTCAATTCCCAGCACCACATATGATCCCTGAGTGCAGAGCCAGGAGTAAGCCCAGAGCACCGTCAGGTGTGGCCCCAAAACAAAAAACAAACAAACAAAAAGGTAAATCACAGGAGCTAGAGAAATAGTATAGCAGGTTGGGTACTTATCTTGCATTGCACATGGCCAACGTAGGTTTAATTTCCAGCATTCCATATGGTCCCCCAAGCCCCACTAGGAGTGATCCCTGAGAACAGTACCCCAAGTAAACCCTGAGTACCAATGAGGTGGCCCAAAAACAAAAAATGGCAAATTATAGAAAACAACATATAGTATGATATATATATAATATTTATATGTTAATCTATGCATTACCTAAATGGCATAGTTTTATGTACTATCTGTATATATGTACTGATATTATGTACTATCTGTATATATCTGTATAGACATGCATAGAGAAATATATACTATTTATTTTTAATAGCTGGAGTGATAGCACAGCGGGTAGGGCATTTGCCTTGCATGCAGCCAACCTGGCCGACCCAAGTTCAATTCCTCCGCCCCTCTCGGAGAGCCTGGCAAGCTACCCGTGATGTACTCAATATGCCAGACACAGTAATAATAAAGTCTCACAATGGAGACGTTACTGGGCCTGCTCGAGCAAATCAATGAACAACGGGAGGACAGTGCTACAGTGCTACAATTTTTAATATCAACATGCAATACACACATAAGTCCAGCAGGTAACACACACACACACACACACACGGGTACCAGAGGTGCTAAGGAGATGGTTCATACATATGCCTTTTGTGTGCTAAGCCCCAAGTTCAATTCCTAATACCATATAGTTCCCTGAGGGCTACCAAGTGTGGCCCTGGTGACCCCTAGAACGTCTGGGCCTAAGTATTTCCAGGCTCAAGGACTGAATCATTAGGACTGCACCGTCAGGCTGAGTACGGCCAGGAGAGGCCCCTGGGATGACAAGTACAGCTGCAGAGACCCTTCTGATAAAGGTACTGAACACTCACGTGGATGCTTCTTAAAAAGACCTTAAAGTGTGGAGAGTAGTCAAGAAAACTTTAGCTTTTATGTATGGTTTTGATTTGATTCATTTGGCCCCTCTCGGAGAGCCCGGCAAGCTACTAAGAGTATCTCGCCCTCACGGCAAAGCCTGGTAAGCTCCCCGTGACGTATTCAATATGCCAAAAACAGTGACAACAAGTCTCACAATTTGTTGTAAGACATTACTGGTGCCCGCTCAAGCAAATTGATGAACAGGAGGACAGTGCTACAGTGCTACTTGGAGAACCTAAAATACTGTCCTCTGATATCTTCTAAAAAAGGTAAAGGTAAAGGCCCTCCCGTTGATCGTCGATTTGCTCGAGCGGGCCCAGTAACATCTCCATTGGAGACTTTGTTGTTACTGTGTCTGGCATATCGAATACTCTCGGTAGAAGTGGGCAGTAAAATGTGACTACTCTAAATCAATAGGCTCAGGTGACCGGGGTTCCATTCCTGATTTACCTGTTGATTCAGAATGATATATTCTTGGTTAGCAAGTTTTTCATTAGCTTGTTTAATATTTTGTCTTTTGATAAATGGTGGTAACAGTTTAGATATACTCAGATAGGCAATTCTTGATAAATTTTCCCACCTTCTTTTCCTAGACATTAAAATATGTGTCTTTTGTGGATGAACCCCATATCAGAATGGTGAAACATTATGATGGTGAGACAAGTCTACAATATGTCGAGGGTGAAACAGTCTCAGTAAGTTCAGACATTTAACCTCTCTTTTTATTGTGTTTTGGTTGTTGATGCTCGTTTGTTTTTTTGGCCACATCTGGAAGTGCTCAGAGCTTACTCCTGACTCTGTGCTCAGGGATAACTCCTGGTAGAGCTCAAGGGACTATAGGGGATTGAATTGCATCAGCATACATAAGGCAAGTACTTGCTGTACTAACTCTCCAGCCCCTTAACTTCTCTTTTTAAAAAAGAAAATCTTACTACTAAGCATGAATACAAATATTTATGAAAATTGATTTGACAATGTATATAAGTGAATTTTAACAAAGTAAACATGTAACCAGCATCCACAAATAAAAGTATTACTAGCATAATTCCCTTTCATTATCCACTCAATTACTACCCTATCGTAAAAGCAGTCATTATCCTGTAGTCAGAGGTTAGTTTTACCCTTATAGAATTTTATAAAATTTGGATTCTATACCGCATATTCATAATATACTCCATTGAGTATCTAGTCATTCACTTAACACTACTTTATCCATGTCATTGCACCTAGTGATAGTCATCCTCATTGTTATATTATTTCCCTGGAGCGATAGCACAGCAGTAGGGCATTTGCCTTGCATGCAGCCCACCTGGCCGAGTCAGGTTCGATTCTTCCGCCCCTCTCCGAGAGCCCGGCAAGCTACCAAGAGTATCTCGCCCGCATGGCAAAGCCTGGCAAGCTACCCGTGACGTATTCAATATGCCAAACACGGTAACGACAAGTCCCACAAAGGAGATGTTACTGGGCCCGCTCGAGCAAATCGATGAACAACGGGAGGACAGTGCTACAGTGCTACCCATCCTATTGTTGATGGGCATTTGAGGAATTTCCAGTTTGGGGATCATGTCCATGATGCTGCCAGGGTAAACGTATGGCACTTAATAGTAGAACCATTAGTCACAACAGGCTTCTATGCCTCATTAGAAGACAGTATCACATTTTAAAAAAAGGCGGGGAGCAACTGCAGTCTCATGGGATGGGAGGGCGGAACCAGATTGTTCTTCATGCCCTATCGAGGCCACGAGTTGCCCTCCACGAGCGGCTCTTCGGCACAGCCATGGCACCAGACACACAGAAACCAATCTTGTAATTATCCGGCTCTTGGCAGAAATCCCTCCAGACTTAATTAGTAAAATATCAGAAATCCAATCAGATGTTGAGGCCACGCAACATCATATGGTTTTCATAACCAGCAATAAAAAACAAATTATTTCACAATGCCTTTCCTGCAGTTCTGATTGTTGGGGGGAAATTCCAAACAATAATGGTGCATCTCTTGTCAAAATAATGAATGTAATCAAAGTAGAGAGAGAGAGAAAGAGAGAGTTAAGTAGAAATCATCTGCCTCACAGATATTGGGAGGGGTGGGAAGGGGGATTCTTGGTGGTGAAAAATAAGTACTGGTGAAGGGAAGGGTGTTTGATCATTGTATGACTGAGACTTAAACCTGAAAGCTTTGTAACTTTTCTCACAGTGATTCAATAAATAAATTTAACTAAAAACATAAAAAAATAAAAAATTTTAAAAATTAAAAAAATAATAAAGTAAATAAAATTTCCACTTAAAATCACTAATCAAAAATCATAATTGTAAATAAAAGTACATGAGTCTTCTACAAATAAAAACTCAAGATAGAAAGTTTTCACTTGTTTCTAGATCAAGAACAGAAAATCAAGAAAAATATCAGAATGCTATGCTTCCATTAATAAAATCATTCTTATGTTTTTGTTATGTTAATTTTTGTAGGAGTACTGCTATTTATTCAGCCACTGATTAGCTGATTGAATTGGGCATGAACTCCACCTTAATTTTTTAAATTTTATTTATTTTTTTTCTTTTCATATTTATTTATTGAATCACTGTGGAAAAAGTTTCAGGTTTAAGTCTCGGTCATACAATGATCAAACACCTTTCCCTTCACCAGTACTAATTTTTCACCACCAAGAACCCCAGTATACCCTCCCTCCCACCCCTCCCAATGCCTGTGAGGCAGATGATTTCCACTTAACTCTTCTCTACATTGATTACATTCATTATTTCCACAAAAGATGCACCATTATTGTTTAGAATTTCCCCCAAACAATCAGAAATGCTGAAAAGGCATTGTGAAATATTTTGTTTTCTATAGCTGGTTATGAGAATCATATAATGTCATGCAGCCACGATGTTGGATTTCTGCAAAGAGCCAGATAATTACGAGATTGGTTTCTGTGTGTCTGGTGTTATGTTGGTGCCGGAGAGCCGCTCGTGGTGGGTAACTCGTGACCTTTGTAGGGCATGAAGGACGTGCTGGTACCGCCCCCCTTCCCATGAGACTGTAGTTGCCCTTTCACCACCGGTTCATACCTGGCTTTCCAATAAGCTCTGAGGTGGTGGTCACCTTGCTGCCAGGGGGGAAAAAGGCGGAAGGGAGCAATACCCTTTCCCTCCCGGGGAGGCATGGAGCCAGAGTTTAACACATGGTCCATTCACTTTTCTGCCACAAGCTTCCGGGCTCTGGGTTAAGTCCTTTTGCCGCTGGAACCATAGCTGTGCCAGAGAGCCACTCGTGGGGGGCAACTCGTGACCTCGGTAGGGCGTGAAGGACAAGCCGGTACCGCCTCCTTCCCATGAGACTGCAGTTGCCCCGTCACCATCGACTCATACCTGACTTTCCAATAAGCTCTGAGCCGGCAGCCACCTTGTTTGCAGTCCAGATGCATTTCTGCCAAAACCCGCTGGGTTTCAAGATTTGTTTCTGAGTCTCCGGTATCATGGCCATTAATCAGCTTGATCAGGAGCCAGAGAGGCTGTTTGTAAGCAGCAACTCGGGGTCTCGTTGGGATGGGGAGAAAGGGTCGGCTCCACCCCCATGTGGTGAGGCCCCGTGTGTCTCGTCACTGCAGGCCCAAACCTAACTGTCCAGTGGCCTCTGGAGGATTGGTGGTAACCAGGCTGCCAAGGGGAACAGGCCAAGGTATGGAACCTATTCCCACCTGGAGTGGCCCAGCGCCAGTAACCTACTGCAGGAACAGGACGCATTTCTGCCAAAAGCCTTTGGGTTCCGAGATTCGTTTCTGAGACTCTGGGGTCATGGCCATTAAGCAGTTCAATGAGGAACCAGAGAGGCCATGCTTCCCATTATATAGCTGAGCCACAGGTGGTTTGTGGATGTGTCTCCCACATACCTAACTCTTGGACGTTTACTTTCTTGGTAAACTTTCCCCAAGTTTTTGGGGTCTAGCCAAAGGCACAGCAGCAATTTTGGGGTATCTGAAAGTCTGACGTTGCCATCAGGCTGCTGATGCACTCACCTCACAGGTACAGAATGACCTGCTGGCAGCACCATACCCTCTTGTTATTATGTTAATTTTAAAACTGTGATCACATGATAAATTTAATATTGTCTAGCTCAATCAAGAATGATTGAGCTAACTTATTATTGCAAAACAGGATAAATGGCAACATTGAATGTAGCTGATTACTTTTTTTCCTCACCCTCTGGAGCATAATAAAATACTACAATATTTGAAAGAAAAGAAAAAAAGAAAATAGTATCAAACAGTTCTCTAAAGACCCTTTCCCCAGAAGTTTTAATTGTTGTACATCTTTACTAATTATATTAGCCTTTTACTACCGTCATAATAAATTACCACAAACTAGATAACTTGAAACAATAGAAACACATTCTCTCACAGTTCTGGAAACTAAAGTCTGAAACTAGATGTTGGTAGTACTATGTTCCTTCCATGGTTCTAGGGAATTATCCTTTTTATTCTTCCTTACTTCTTCCAGTTCTGGTATATCTTTATCTCATTTCCTATATCTTTGTCAAAGTTTCCTGTATTTCTCTATTCATTATAGTATTTGCTACAGGTTGGGGGAAGTTTCTCTCAAGCAGTGACCGGGAATCCTCCAGTTCAGGAGTGCTACTCCCAGTGGTACTTGGCCAGCTGGACCAGATGGTTCAATACTAGGATGCAACAATGCAACACTGCTCAGGCCTTATGATTCTGAGGACCACCATTGTTGTAGGTCATTAAAGAACTCTAACAGAGTAAGAAAAGGACACTGTGAAGCCAGAGAGATAGCACAGGAGTTAAGGCTCTTTGCTTGCACATGGCTGACCCTCTTTTAATCCCCAATACCCCCAATACCACATATAGACCCCCAAGCATTACCAGGAGTGATCCCTGAGCATAGAGCCAGGAGTAAGCCCTGAGCACTACAGGGTAAGCCCTCCCCCAGCCCCAAATTTAAAAAAGAGGTTTGACTGTGATGTATCATTCTTTATATTCACTGTTGAATTTAGTTCACTATTATATACGATTTTATCTTTCTTCTTGAGACACTAAGTGAGTGTCCTCCACCCCTCTCGGAGAGCCCGGCAAGCTACCGAGAGTCTCGCCTGCACGGCAGAGCCTGGCAAGCTCCCGGTGATGTATTTGATATGCCAAACACAGTAACAACAAAGTCTCCAATGGAGACGTTACTGGGCCCACTCGAGCAAATCGATGATCAACGGGAGGGCCTTTACTTTACTTACTTACTTGAGACACTAACCAATATTTTTCCATGCTTGTAATAGTTATAAATTCTTGTGTGTGATAAAATACACATAACAAACTTTACTAACTTAAAGTATGCAATTCAGTGGCATTTAGTACATCCACAATGGTGTTGTAATCATCTAGTTTCATGCATTTCATCATCACCAAAGGGAATCTCATATCTACTCAGTGACCACTTTCCTGTTTCCTCCAGACCCTAGCATTCACTAATATGCTTTCTAATTTTATGTATTTGCCTATTTTGATCATTTCCTATCAATAGAATGATATAATATGTGAACTTTTATATCTGGCTTCTTTCACTTAGAACCATATCTTCAAGGCTCATCCATATTGTAGTCTTCTAGTATTTTATTGTTCTAGTATCATATTCTTTTCATTTATTTGTTTTCTTACATTTTTCATAGGTAGTATGTTTGGGATTGCACCGAGTAGTGCTCAGGAACTACTCCTAGCTCTGTGCTCAGTCAGGAAGTACTAGGGATCAAATTCAGGTACAAATGATAGCAATTATGACAAAGAAGGAACATAAATTTGGCAACTAATTTGACTATAGTATTTCTCTTGGAGAATAACAAATAAAACTGCAAAAAGAGGACTCCCTGGTGTCGAAATATTGAATGTGATCAAAGTAGAGAGAGAGTAATGTGGAAATCATCTGCCCCACAGGTAGGGGGAGGGTGTGGGATGGGGATATATTGGGGATATGGTGGTGGAGAATGGGCACTGGTGAAGGTACGGGTGTTTCATTGTATGACTGAGACTTAGACCTGAAAACTTTGTAACTGCTCTCACGGTGATTCAATAAATAAAATTATAAAAAATGAAAAAAAAAAGTAAGGTGGAGTTCATGCACAATTCAATCAGCTAACCAGTGGCTGAATAAATAGCAGTACTCCTACATTAAAAAAAAAAAAAGAGGACTCCTGATTGAAGGAAGAGAGTGGAACTAAGTCAACATATACTGTTTAGTAAGTTCTGGATATTGTCCAAAGAATTGGTGATATGTAGTAAGGAAAGCAGTCAGGACCCTTGCCTTCATATGGAAGAAGAGCCTTTACTAGTTAATAAGCTAGTTTCAGATGATGATTACTGTGTCACTGTATCATTGTCATCCCGTTGTTCATCGGTTTACTCGAGCAGGCACCAATAATATCTCCATTCATCCCAGCCCTGAGATTTTAGCATCCTCTCCTTACTCGTCTTTCCCAACGCTGCCATATTGGAGGTTCTTTCTGGGTCAGGGGAATGAGACCCATTATTGTTACTGTTTTTGGTATATTGAATACGCCACAGGTAGCTTGCCAGACTCTGCCATGAGGGCAGTATACTCTCGTTAGCTTGTCGGGCTCCCCGAGAGGTATATATATATATGTGTGTGTGTGTGTATGTATATATATATATATATATATATCCCTCTATGTATATATATATATATGTGTGTGTGTATATATATATCCCTCTATGACTTGTTGCCTACTGTCTGAACTCCATTAAATATGGTGTGGTAATTATGGAAAATGGGTAGGGAGTGTCTTATGATGTGTCATGGCTGTGCGGTCCAGGAATATGTTAACTCATATGTGAGGCTTGGCCCAAGCATGTGGAAAGTGGCCTGGAGCATGGTGGCAGCTGGGTAGTGGAGGTTGGCTGCCGGGGCTGGGGCCCTTGGGGTGGGGAGGGCTCTCACCCACCCCACTCTGGGCCCTGAGTTTTCACAGCCTGGCGTGGAGTTCAGTGGCATGGTTAGGGGGGCCTCATTTTATGCTCCCTTCCGGAAGAAGTAGCCATGACTTCTGGAGGGTGGCTGATGAGGAGATTATCTGGCACCAGCAGGAGGTGGCTTATGGGCGTGACCCCTAGGTCGCCAGAGACTGGGGGAAGCAGGCAGAGGACCTCTGCTCCTGGGTCCCATTGAGCCCAGAGTCCAAGGTCACAAAGTTCCACATTACTTGGGTTCCGTGGGACTTCACTCAGGCGTGAGGCTCAGCCTGAGCATGTAGAAAGCAGCCTGGAGTGTGGCAGCGGTTAGGTAGTGCATGGTGATAAGTAATATAAACAACACAGAATATCATGATGTAGCAAGAAAAGAGTCTGAGGGGACAATCACCTAGGGGGGAATTAGGGTAAGAAGGTCTACCAGAAGAGGTAATATCTACATATAGATTTTTTTTAATTTAGGTTTCAAATTTGTAAAATGGAGGTAAAATTAAGTTCTTTAAGAGCTTACATGGGCCAGTACTTATAAACACTAGCACACTAATATGTGTTCAGTTAACCTCTTGTATTAATATAACATTAACAGTGTTTAATAAATTAATAGTAAAATAAAAGAATCTAGGATCTTAGGGGTTGTCATTTTTAATGGATTTTGAAACTTGAATTTTTCAGAAACCCCAGATAGACTTCACGGACTTGTCAAGACTGCCCCTGTCTGTCTATAGCCCACGCCACACTTCTGGACAGCAAGAGAAGATAGAACTGTGTAAAAAACATAGTGGACTACCGTGGTGCCAGTGTGGAAACTGCCTCCCATCCCAACACCCTAAGAACAAGCACCTGGAGGAACTGTGCTGTCGAAAAACTCAGGGACCCTGCATCACCACCTCACAGCTATTCAAGAGCCTCGTTCTATCCAGAGATGTCCTTCAGTTTCTTCTACTCTACAAGGAGCCCTTCCTGGCACTGGATGCAGATTCCACCAACAGTAAACTGCGACACTGTGCCTACAGGTGCTATATCACCTGGCGTTTCGGCTCCCAGGACCTGGCTGACTTTGCCGTCCTGCCCAGCTGCTGCCGCTGGAGAATACGGGAAGAATTTCCCAAGAGTGAAGGCCAGTAGAGTGGCTTCAAGGACTTACTGATGGCTCAGGCTGGGCAGTCATTCCTGGAGCCTTTGCCTACACCTTGAGCCTCACCTGCAAAAGTCTGTGGCCAAATTTTCAGCCAGAGGGAAATGTACGTTCCTCCCACCTCTCTGTAGGAGTCAGAGAGCTGAGTCCTGGGAAATCAGACAAACCAAGGGTCCTCAGCATGGACCATGAACCAGGAGATTTAGATTTGGGTCTCGGCTCTGTCCCTAAAAAGTAATGTGATCCTGGGCTTTTAACCGCTTTACCTCACCTTCTCACCAGCCTACTATCTCCCAGAGGCACTGATCGCCAACTGAAAATGTACATGAACTTTCTCCTTAATGCATAATGAGGAAAATGGTCAGACTAGGAGGCTAAAGAACTATGAAAAAAGTCCTGTTTGGAGCATGTGGGGAATTAAAACTGGCCCCAAGTTATTTGACACATCCCTCAGGACCTGAGGTTAGTTCTGCCCTTGCATTAGTGCAGTTTTTTTTTTTAATATTGCAGAAGCTTTTTTTTTTTATCATTTTTTTTATTAGTGAAACACCATGAAGTACACTTATAGACTTATAAATTTTTGTGCTTGGGTTTCAGTTATACAATGATCAAGTACCCATCCCTCCACCAGTGCCCATCCTCCCCCACCACGGGTCCTAGTATCCCTTCCACCCCCATCCCCCCCCATCCCACCCGGCTGCTGTGCAGTTTTGATTGTTCTATCCAATAGTGCAAGTGACTGTGTGGTCTTAGGCCTTGGTCTTAGAGTTGGAAGTTCCCACTTCCTGATCTTTGGCATTCTGGCTGGAAAGAGAGCCAGCCCTCATAGAAAAGCCGATCCCGAGATTGTCCTGCATAAAGGAAACCCTAGAAGTCGTAGGGAGAGGAGATACCGGACCAGCTCCTGGCCTTCAGAGAACTTCAGACCTGCTAACTTGACCACACTCTTGAGACATCCCAGGGTATGCCCCTGCTCAGGGAACCATGGAATGAAATAATTGTTTTATGCCACTGAATTTTTGATTGTTAGTTATACAGCAACTGAAAGCAACTTTGTTCATATGGACCTGGACTTAACCTGGACTTAACCCACAACTTTCTGAGATTCAGGGAGACTTCACCACCCCTGGAACTCCTGGGCTGTAACCCAAAGGGCCTGCCTAGACTTCTCTTTGGCAATTCTGGGAAGGCTGAAGGCCAAATCAGGTAACTAACATTTCATTCCTCGGATCCATTAAATCTAACGGTCCAACCTGCATTGCATTCCTATGATGGGAAATAACTCTTACTCTTAGAAATGGAAAAAATGGGAAAACTTTACTGTTTCTCTACACCAGCCACAACAAATGTAGGCTGTAGGATTTTCCTTTTCATGGCTCTGGCACTAAAATTCACTCCTTCTAGCAACTATTTTGAAGAATAGAGACCACTATTCAATATTATGAATGATGAATTGTTTTCTCATAGTCTTAAGATTTTTTTCTTATAGTCTTATTTTGGCATTAAAATCACCAACAGTGGGGCTGGAGTGATAGCACAGAGGGTAGGGCATTTGCCTTGCACGCGGCCCAACCCAAGTTCGATTCCCAGCATCCCATATGGTCCCCCGAGCACCACCAGGAGAAATTCCTGAGTGCATGAGCCAGGAGTAACTCCTGTGTATCGCCGGGTGTGACCGCCCCCCCAAAAAAAAAGCGAAAAAAAAAATCACCAACAATGATATTGTAGAAGGTGTGGTCTTCTTCATAGAACTTCTCCAGCTCCATGTAGAACTTCTCAATTTCTTCTTCATCATAATTGGACGTTGGTGCGTAGTCAATGAAGATAGAAACTGCCGGCAGTGAGCCACATCTATTCAAGTGTAGTCGTCCGATTTGGATTGTTAGGCATTCGAATGAATCAATGCTCATGGCCAAGTTCGTGTTGACAAGGACACCGACGCCTCCAACGCCTCTTTTATCACAAGTTCCGAGGAACAGTTCTCCAGTGTCGAAAACGGCATGATGTGATTGATGCCTTCTTGTCTCAGTCACACCAATGATGTCATACTTGATCTTTCGCACTTGTACCATCAGGTTCTCTATAGATGCATCTGATGCCAGCGTACGTGCATTGAAAGTACAATCATTTTTGTCTTTCTTCATTTTGGCAGCCTAGTTCAGCCTTGAGATTTTATCAGCCTCTCCTTCCTCATCCTTCTCAACATTGCCAAATTGGTGACTCCTTCAGGATCAGGGAAATGAGACCCATTGTCATTACTGGTTTTGGCATATTGAATACAGAACGGATAGCTTGCCAGGTTCTGCCATGCGGGTGGAATACTCTCAGTAGCTTGCCAGGCTCTCCAAGAGGGATAGAGGCTTTTGGGGTGGCCTCTAATCGCCCTTGGAGGTGTTCCCATGGTTCAAACCATATTTGAGCCCTATCAAATATGGTGCGGCAGCCCTGGAAGATAGGTATTAAGTGTGTTACAATACGTCGGCACATCTCTTCAATTCCACTGTTCTTCCTGCATTAATATACGCCTCAGAGATCTGGGCCCTACGAAAACAGGATGAGAATGCCATTAGGTCTCCCAAAGAGGAATCAAAAGAGCTATGCTTGGAGTATCACGTTTCACTGAAAGGAGAGGAAGAATCCGGAGTTCTGAACTTCATTGACAGTCAAGAATCAGGGACGCTGTCTCGTTTGCCAAGGCATCAAAAATCAGATAGACAAGACATGTAATGAGATTTGGAGACGACTGCTGGACTAGAGCTGTTACCGACTGGATTCCACGGGATGTTAAAAGATTGCGTGGCCGCCCACCTACAAGATGGTCACACTTCTTCGTCAAGACCCGGAATGATCAGTTTGAAGCTCTTTGTGTTCCTAGAATGAACAAACACCATTGGGCTACACTAGCATGCCACAGGGACGAATGGAGATGTTACTGGTGCCCACTCGAGCAAATCGATGATTAACGGGAAGTCAAGTGATCAAGTGATAGTCTTATTTTGATACTTTAAAGAACTATCAACTGGGGCCAAAGAGATATTACCGTGGGTAGGGCGCTTGCCTTGCACACAGTCAACTCAGGTTTAATCCCCAGTACCCCAGTTCCCCCTCAGCACCACCAGGAGTAATTCCTGAGTGTAGAGCTAGAAGTAAGCCATAAGTATTGCTGTGTGGCCCCCCAAGAAAAAAATACTATCAACTTACTACTGCTCACAAAACAATATCAACAAAAACTTTAGGGAGAGATGGTTTTGGACACTTTTCAGTCTTAAAACTCAGGATGAAGTTAATGGATCAGACTGAACTTTCATTTTTACTACCTTTCATATATATTATTGCAGAGTATTGAGACGGGGGATTGGGGCAGGGTGGATTGTGGGAGGGAGGCATACCTAGCAGTGCTAGGAATTGGGGGAAGCAGGCAGTACTGGGGAGCAAATCCAGGGCAAAATATGAAATACATATATAACTTCTTTAAGATTTCAATTTCTTACTTCAAGAGTTCTATGTAATGGTAGAGATATCCATTTTGATAGCCTCTGAGTTCTTATCGGTGCCTTATGCCAAATGCATTTGTAATCTCATGGAGTCCCAGATGCAGTATGAGTCTTGAATGACAAAGAATCTCTTGATCTACTTCCTTCCAGCCTTCATCTTCCCCACAGAAACACTTGGTGACTAGATGTGTGATGTTAATTTTTTTTAGTATAAAAATCTGACGCTTTCCATGACAACACGTTATATTTGTATTAGACTATTTAGAATAATATCATTGCCAAAGGCATCCTAAGGAGAGTAACAATTTACAGGATCTGTTTCTTGTACTCTAGATCATTCTTCTGACTGGTAGTTACCCATCATCACAAAGCTCCATCTCTGTGCCAAAGACCTGTTTACGTGTTGAAACTCTAAATGATGTCATGGAGAGCTGTGAATGAATTTGCCTTTTTCTCTTCAAATGGGATGGCTTTTAAGGGCTTCCTAATTCTAGCTTAGAGATCTTATGTCTTAACCTGACAGTTTTGATAATATAAAATAATATAAATATCATAATTACCTAAGGGTTGTCTTTACTTCCTTTGTCCAGAAGATTTCCAAAATCACAATTCATTCACTGACACATTCATTCATACACTAGAGTCACTGAGGACTGCACATAAGGTATTTACTCATCTCTGCCCCTGCTTTCTGACAAGAGAACTCCTAAATTCCTTGGAATTTTCTGGGTGAGAGGAATGTCTTGTGTTCTAGTAAGTGGCTCAGTGGACTCCTAGATGATGTTAGGACAGAGGTTGGTCACTAGAAAGACAAACCGTGATCTTGGAAGGTTGGAACTTCAAGCACCACCCCTCATCCTGTAGAGTGGGAGAAAGTTGTGAACTGATTATGCTGGTGTAATAAAGCCTCCATAAAATTCCATTTGTTTATTTTTTCGTTTGTTTGGGGTCCACACCCAGCTATACCCAGGGGTTACTCCTGGCTCTACACTCAGGAATTACTCCTGGCAGTTCTCAGGGGATATATGGAATGCCAGGAATCCAACCAGGGTCACCTACATGCCAGGGCAGCACAATAATATTAAAAATAATATTAAAAACAGTAATATTTTGAGAGCTTGAGAACTGAAAAATACACTCACAGGCTGAGAAGAGGGAGGTACACCCCAACTCTGCAGACTCAGAAACTTCTGAATCACCCGCTATGTACCTCTTCATCTGGTTACTCATCCATATCTTTTATTATAACCTTTATAATGTGCTTCCCTGAATTCTTAGCCACTATAGTAAATTATTGAATCTGAAGATGGAGTTATGGGATTTCCCAACTTGTGGCTGTGATGTAAGTAGGCATGAGAGAGGCAGGGGCAAGAATGTGCCGAATCTGCAAAAAGCAGTTCACAGCGCTTACTGATGTCTCTACCACCCCCGACCCCCAGCACCACCTCCTGCACAAGGTATATGCTTAAAAGTAAGGTCTAAGGGTGGAGAGATAATACAGAAAGTATGGGGCTTGCCATATCTGAGCCCCCCGCCCCAAGCATCTCCAGGAATGACTCCTGATCACAGATTCAGGAGTAAGCCCTGAGCACAACTAGATGTGGCCCACTCCAGGAAAAAAAAAAAAAGTCAAGTCTAATTATGACTACCTGATATCTAGGAAATCAGGAAGGACTGACCAACCCAACCACAAGTGCTTTCTCCCTAGTACACTCCTGTGGCCAAGGTCACCTCCTCAAAGACCTCCTTATCAAATGGACCAAATGCTCAA